AGCGCTTTTTAAAACTGGTACCTCTAAAAATTTGCACGGTTTAGAATACACATCTTTAAAAGTGACCAGTTTTAAAAAGCGCTTTTAAGTTAGAAGAGGATGTTGCATACAGCTGAAATTTCTTGAAGATTTGTAATTGTTCCTGATGTAGTTGGTACATTTTTTGTCATAGTAATTTCTGGCCATTTGGACTTTGAATCCACTACAATAAAAAAATAATTATTTAGAAAAGGTCTAGCATAATCCATATGTACTCTTTGCCAATTTTCTCTTGAAGGTTCCCATTGATGAAGTGGTGCCTTAAACAGGATTTTGACAGTATTTTCAATATCTGCATCAATACCCTTCCAAAAACAATAACTTCGAGCAAGTGCTTTCATTTTCACAATTTCAATATGTGTTGAATGCAATTCGTTTACCATTATTGGTTGGAGACTTTTAGGTATTATAACCCAATGTCCTCGAAATAGAACTCCTTCGTGTATTGATAATTCTGGATCTCTGATTTTTCCATTAAATAGACTATTTTTAATTTCTGATAATTCTGGATCATTTTGGGTTTTTTTGGCTATATCTATGACTATTATTTCCCATTGGATATTTGATTTATAGAAATATCATTTAAAATATATTCTTGATCTCAACTGATAAATAGTCAACATTTTTATGTTCTTGAGACTTCTTGTATTCAATAGAATAATTGAAACCAGACAAAAATTGTACATATCTAAGTAATCTCGTTGCAGATAATACTGGCTGTTTTGAAGGATTGAATATTTGCATTTTGTATCGTTTTATGCAGTTTGAGCGTTGTGATAATATTGCAACGTTAAAAAAAAAGGTTCATGCTCAAGGTATCCATGTACGAAAATCAAAATTGAAATCATAGTATTTTTGCAAACGCATATTTTCAAAACTTCAAACTTATGTTAATAAAAACTGCATAAAACTATACAAAGTGCTGTATATGTTTTTATCTACAACCGTTTGGTTATGACTATTTTTCCGGTACATATTTGAGTTATGTCATGAGGCTCATAACACAACTAGTTGTGTTATGGACTAGGTTATGAATTCATAACACAACTAGTGATGTTATGGACAAGGTTATAAATTCATAACACAACTATTTTTCGTTATTTGACAATTGTGAAAGGTAAACTTGTAGAGGTAAAATGAAGGTATACTATGACTAATAAACGAAAATGATTGAATTTTTTTTTTTTCGCTTTGTATATAAAAAGTTGTACATCATACGTGCGTTTAAACATGACTACAAAACTCGTGTGATTAGAACGACTCGGTCTACGACCTCGTCGTTCTAATCTTTCACACTCATTATTGTATTCATGTGCATAAACGCACTTGTAGATCTAGGTTATTTAAGCAAAGTATTACCGCATCTTTCCTTAACATAACCCCAGAGATAAAAGTCTAGAACTCTCAAGTCAGGAGAGTAAGGTGTCCATTCTATAGGATAAGCTCTCCTTGTCCGTGTTTCCTCAAGTATCATATCTAGTGATTCCCTTGCTATTAAAGAATAATGAGGTGGAGGCACTATCCTGCTGAAAATCAGGGTTGGAAAAAACCCGGGTTTTTTTTTAAAAGTCCAACCCGTCGGGTTTTTTTGGGTTTTTATGGGTTTTTTGGATTTTTTTGAGTTGGGTTTCATTTTTTACAAAAGTATTACAAAAATTATGACTTTTGTTGCAAAAAAAAAAAAAAAAATATATCCTTACAAAATACAGCAAGCCACTTGATATAAAAGTCCGTCGATTTTAATCTGATACTCGGAAAGAATGTGAGCTGGTGACACCCTACAAGAACGCCAATGGTCACCTGACGTTACACCTGTTTTTGCCATATACTTCACCTCCTCACTCCTCATACGGCAAGTATCAGATAAAAATCGACGAAGAATAAATAATTACACTTGGCATCAGTGCACTGCACCGCGCCTATGGCTAGCCAGCTCAGAGGCACCGTGTCATGTAGAATTCTACATATCGACAGGATTCTACAGACTCGGCGCATTCGATATGTCGAATTCTACATAGCACGGGAGTCACTGCCCAAGCCTCCACGCCAAACGTCAACAGTGAACAGCCAGGGATTGGGGAATCATCGTGGAATCCCCGATATTTTCTGTGAAAATGCCGCTCATTCAACTGAAATACTGAAAATTTGCTATTTTTAAAAAAACCCAAAAAACCCAATAATAGTGGGTTTTATCAATTGAAAAAACCCAAAAAAGCCCACTGGGTTTTATAACCTGGGAAAATTCCAAGCCAATCCTGCTGAAAATAGATATCATCCAAGATACCCTCCTCTTTTAACTGTGAGAAAAAAAACATATCAGTGTATACAGTTTCTCTTATCATTGGTTCGTTAATGAAAATAGTCTGTATTTTTTCTCAATAGAGATTGCACGCCACTCTTGGGGTATCTCTATTTAACGAGTTCCAGAGAAAATACTCTGGAACTCGTTAAATTTCCTTGGAAAATGTATTTTAACTTAATTGATATCTATGTTGTATCATAGTCATATTATCAAGCATTGCATGCAGTTGCAAAAATAACAAGATTTAGATTTTGATTTTTTACGGCTAAAACTTCAAGTTTCAAGGACGATGTCTGTAGGTATGTACAGGGTGTCCGAATTTGGATGGTTTTAATAGGAAACATCAATTTCTGAACAAGATACAAAAAAATGAACCCCCCACTCCGAGGCTCGGATTTCTTGAAATTTTGATTGGTGCAAACCGTATTTTGATATCTTCAACCGTTTAGCCGCTAGAGGGCGATTTTCGATTTTGTGAAACCATCATAACTTTTTTGTTTATGAAAATTATTGATTTTCGTAAAAACTTTCTAGAAGCACTTTTTCAGGCAGAATTCAGTGACGTTCTCAGTTTTTTTCTAGTTGCTCCCAACTCCGAGATATTGACCAAAATCTGGTTTTTTTCAATAGGACACTCTATATATTAATAGCTCATTAGAAAGCTCGGTTTTTTCTGATTTCAATGATATAAAGTTCGATAGGTTTATCTCTAATAGTTTTCAAGAAAAAAAATTATTTCGGAATTTGTCATAAGAAGCAATGTGTAAGAAAAGGACTTTATATTTGTAAGGAAACTGAGAAAAGTCTCTAACTCATTGTTTCTTATGACAAAAACCGAAATAGTTTTTTTTCCTCGAAAACTGTTAGAGATAAACCTATCGAAATTTGTATCTTTGAAATCAGCAAAAGCAGAGCTTTCTAAAGAGCTATTAATATATAGGGTGTCCCATTGAAAAAAATCGGATTTTGGTCAATATCTTGAAATCCACGCCCAATAGAAAAAAAACTGAAAACGGCACTGAATTCTGCTTGAAAAAGTGCTTCTAGAAAGTTTTTACGGAAATCAATAATTTTCATAAACAAAAAAGTTATGAAGATTTCACAGTATTGCTCAAAACAGAGAATCGCCCTCTAGCGGCTAAACGGTTGGAGATATCAAAATGCGGTTTGCACCAATCAAAATTTTATGAAATTTGAGCCTCAGAGTGGGGGGTTCTTTCTTTTGTATCTCGCTCAGAAATTGACGTTTCCTATTAAAACCATCCAAATTCGGACACCCTGTACAGGGTTATTGGTTATAAATGTCACCCCACTCTATCTTTTTAATTTGACATTTTAGAAAAAAGTGTTTCAAATAAAAAATTTATGGTTGAAATTAAATTTTCTGAAAATCTCACTTTTGCCTATACAGGGTGTTTCAAAAAAGCTGGTCGTGCTCCAACTTCCTTATTTTAAATTGAATACCCTATGTATTATTCAATATTCGGATTCTACGTCAAATTCTGTGCAGATTTCACGTGATATACCCTATACCTAAGTTCAACTGTTTTGGAAATATTGACAGTTGAAAACTTACTTTTTTGCAAATTTGACAGGCTGTAAAACCTAAACGGTTAACTTTTGAGCAAAACGATCTCACATTTGAAAATCTTAGATTCGCAAGTTATCATTTGACAACAACTTTGAATTTAACCGAAGATTAAATTTAATTGGAATTTTAAATCATAGATTAAACTCAAAGTTGGATGTCAAATATTGGTGTCACCTGATAGTTTATAAAAATCCAAGATAAAAATGTAAGATCGGTTTTGCTCTAAAATTAACCGTTTAGGATTTACAGCCTGTCAAAGTAGCAAAAAAGTCAATTTTCAACTGTCAATATTTCCAAAACAGTTGAACTTAGGTATAGGGTATATCACATGAAATCTGCTCAGAATTTTATGTAGAATCCGAATATCCAATAATATACAGGGTATTCTATTTGAAATAAGCAATTTGGAGCACGACCAGCTTTTCTGAAACACCCTGTATATGCGAAAGTTAGTTTTTCAAAAAATTTAATTTTAACCATAAAACTTTTATTTGGGACACTTTTTTCTGAAATGTCAAATTAAAAAGATAACCAATAACCCTGTACATGGATACCTTAAACATGATTTTTTTTGACGTTGTGATATACATGGTGTTCTATTAGAAATGGTGGAGAATTTCGATGTTGAAAAACAGATTTTTTTCTACTTGCCCTGTATAAGTTTCAAAAACTTTAGGCCAAGAAAAATCGAATGGACAAACCACAGGTAGCTAGCACACCTGGTTCAAAAGTTATAAGCATTTAAAATGGGTTACTTTCGGCTAGAACACCCTGTATTACAGCTTAATTCAAGTTAGTGCGACACAAACAAACAAACTTTAAATGTTCTTGATACTGGAGCAAGAATGTTGGAGTATCCTAGAATTTGATGGTGATGGAGTTAGGGGAGTATGACACAAATGACACATCACATAATCCAGCAAAAAATTATGCTTAGTTATTCTTGCGAAAAATTGCCTAATATAATTCTTACCTTGAATTACCCAATTTTGAAAAAAAGCCGTCAACTTTATACCAGTCTCATATCTTCAAGATCCATGAAAAGTAATTTATTTTTTCCCCCATTAGATGATTACGACTCAGTATTAGACAATCCCTACTACATAATGTGGATTTTGTCGCAACTAATAAGCTCCACATACTCTTACATATGGGACATTAAAATGGATTGGGGTCTTATGGACAAAAACGCTGGCGAAAACACCTTCTTACGCGAAGAAATTGTTTATTCTTCAACAGTAAGTAGTACATTAATTACCAATATAATAATTATATTTTCTAATACTTCTCAGTTCTTTTATTACTTTGCCATAATCGAAGATTTCATCTTACGTTTCACTTGGACCGTAACGATTTACTTAACCGAATACAAATACGTAAGTTCGGACATGATGACGTCAATAACCGCCCCCTTAGAAGTGTTCAGACGTTTCGTTTGGAATTTTTTCCGATTGGAAAACGAGCACCTGAACAATTGCGGTAAGTTCAGAGCGGTCAGAGATATTTCCGTTGCACCGATCGATTCCACCGATCACATTCAAATATTACGGATGATGGACGATATTGATGGGGTGGTACACAGAGGGAAAAAAATGAAATCGCCCAAGAGGAAGGAGGATAAGGTGCCTTTATTGCACGACGCTACTGTTATCAATTTTAAAAGTATTCCGTTTTCTGGTATACAGGGTTAAGGCGTTCCATTATTTAATATTTTTCCTGTGATATTTGATGCACAACCTTAATGGAATGTGGCCCAAAAAGTTTTACCAAAATGCTTAAATTATCTTGTACTTATTTTGTAAGATTAATTTTCCCTTAGATTGTAAGCTCAATTTTCAAAAATCATTTTTGAGGCTTAATAAGATGAGAAGCAATTTTTAATTTACTTACTGTTCGGATCTTGTCAATAACTATGACTTGATTCTAGGGAGCAGCTTATGTAGGTAAAATGTTGATTTTTCTTTCAATATTCAACAATAATTTCTATGAAATTAGGAATATAATACATAAGCTACTCCATACACTTGATTTTGATAATTAACTTTTAAAAGTTCTTGCTCAACCATTCCGTTTTGCGATAATCAAGGGCAATATGGTTCAAGTTTATTGAAACTGTGTGATAATTTAGTGCCTACCTTAACTTTTGTTCCAATATTTTAGAGAACCTTTTTTTATTATGTATACCCATTTTACTCCAGATTATTTATATACCTTTATTATTATATACAATTTATTCCTATTTAGTAGTTAGTATACAAAAAAGACCATAATTTCTTAAAATGCTTTTTCTTTTATTTTATACCTTATCTAACAGATATATCACAGTTATTCTGATTGCAACAAAACAAAGTTAAACTTCCAACCCTTTGCCTAAACCAGCATAATGATCGGGTACTTCCAAAAAATACTTGTGCATAGCTTCGATAAATCGTTTCTGATACTCTTCCGGCGATATAATAGTGGGCAACTTACCTTGGCCTCCTAAAATACCAGACCTTTTCACCATTGTTTCTAGTTTTTTGTCCCAGGTAAACGTACGGATATAATCTGAAATAATATTGTCAATAAATAGGTGAATCAAGAAATATGATTTTACCAATAATGCCTAAAACGAGTTCCTTGTTTTTCGTGTCTAGTCCAACCAATAGCGAGTAGTCCATTACAGATTGGGTCGATAGGAATTCAGTGTCGTTTTGGATTGCGGCTAAAAGAACTTCTTTGGAATGTGGTAAAACGTAGAGTGGATTATCGCAGGTCACTAAAAAAAAAAATCAATAAGTTAATAATAATGAAAATTCATAATTCTTACTTTTCAAAAGATTTTCATCCAACAAGACAATTTCTCCATCCTGATTGTCGGGCACAACTAATCGATTCCTCATTGAGCCCTTTAAATCAAACTTTTGTGAAACATCCCGGTTATAAAACAAATTCTCCATGACCAACAAATAACTCCTGGTAACATTGGAATTATTTTTGTAAATTATTTGATAAATACCGACAATTTTGCCTAGTAACGTCGGTTGCATTGTGCTGTAGCACTTTTGCATGTAGCTGAAATAATTGGCGGATGATTCTAGGAAAATTTGCACTTCGGCCCTCGGCATGTCTTTCAATATAAATCGGTCATCTACCAAACAAAACTTTAAATCAAATATAATAATAAATAAACAATTCTTGCCTGATGTTTTTGCAAAGTTTGAACCAGATTTTCCACCTAAAGCTTTCCATTGGACTGATCTACTTAAAGATCTTATATAAGCTTCTTCGCCCATTGGTAATACGGCTGCACGTAGAGTGGCAAATTTGTCAGCTAAATAAACTCTGCAAAAAAAGTTGCAAGTGCTGTCCTGGAATTGAATTTCAATGTGTGAGTTTTTAACTTTTTTCAGGTCTTCTGTTGGTTCAACTTCTACACTGTCACTTGATAAAGGACTAGTTAAATCCATTTTTGAGTCTTTTGTACGTAAAAACCCCAATAGACCACTAGTTTTGTCTTCACTGTCAAACTTGGTATTGTCTAAATTGTTTTTTTTTCGTGAAACTGGACTAGGTGTTAGCTCATTATTGCATTTTTTATTAGTCAACTCTTCAAAACTCTTTTTATATTCAAGTGAGTTTAATGCGTAAGCTATAATAGAGCTGAGCTCGTTTTCAAAAACAGCCAAAGGCCCGTAAACGCCTGCTGGCAAATTGAAGTGTTCATAAGGGGCAAAAGGACACTGAATCAAATTCAATTGACCTGAAGATGGTAATAGTTTGTCTAAAATATTTTTAACTGATTTTTCTTTTTTAATGACTTCTTTTTTGTTATCTACAGAGTCTTCCATTTTGGAGTCTTCTATACTGTCACTTTTCTCAAAGTCCACCTCTTTGTCAACAATAGATTTTTCAGTTACTTCACTTGCAGGACTTTCCAGTTCGGGCACGACCGATTTTTCTCGCTTCTTGTCAGATTTACGTATGGCTTCGCCCAGGTGCAAATTCCAAGTATCTAGTATTTCCATTAGGGCGATTTTGATTCTTGTCACGTTATCTTGGATTTTCCAATAAGACTGACACAAACTGATTTCGTTGAATTCTTTATGTTCTACACTGGGAGAGGTTAGTTTTAGTTGGACTTCTTCAACCTGGAATAAAAATTATTCAACACCAAATATATCATCACTAAACATACAAAATACCTTATTTTTAAACAAATTCTGTTCCTTGGCTAAAACCTGCCTAATATTCCCAATACCTTCCAATTCTTCACTAGAAATAAGTGCTGCTTTTTCTTGAACAATGGTAAACATATCGTGGCCCTTTTGAGCCAACATTTTAGTCTCTTCTATGAGAACATTGTGCAAAGCTGGAAAATCGTATTGGATTTGGATAACGGCACTTGGTAGTGAGATTTCCCAAATATTAATCGAAGAATATTTGAATGAGGCCACGTAATTTCTATAGCCAAAATAGTGATAGTGATCGTGGTGCAAGCTGTGCCTGCAAGGGCTCTGACCTCGTCTGTTAAATATTTCCCCATGAAATCTCAGCTCCAGATATTTGGCAAATGAATAAGACCAAGAATCGGCTGATAATGGTACTACAGGGGAGACGCTTTGGCATTTTGTGCACCAGCTCCACATTACGATGTTTTCTTCTGCAAATTCGCTTTCAAAATTGTTTAGGGATATTGTGACACTACCTGGAAGTATTTTTCGATATCGTAAACTATTAAAAAAGGAGGCAAATCACTGACCTGAATTATGAACAAACCTTCTTATGTGTTTTACCATTGGAGTTGTGCATGTTTTTGAAGGACAAGCATAAGTCGATCTGAAGCAGTATTTTTCCAGGAAACAACCTATTGGGATGTCGTTTCGGCCATAGAAATCCATATAAACTACCCTAGAATAATATATAAAGTAAAGTAAATACAAATTGTAATGAAAAAAAAATTCTTACCAAGGATTGACACAAAACGCAGGAGCGTTACTGGACTCGTGGCTAAAACTATAGAAAAGTACGGCTAATCTTTGATGGTTTATTGGATCCAAAACATCCATACGGCATTTTTCTGTGCTTATAAGGCTTGATTCTTCAGGCTCTTCAATTTTTAGGACAACTTTTTTTGTGTATTGACCGCCACATGCTCTAAAGTGGGCCAGCATATTTTGGATATTGTTGTTGTCAACATTGGTTATTTTTGCAGTAAGAAAAGGGTGTAATATGGCATTCTGAAACAAATCTTGATTAATAGGAAATAGAAATTTTAATTAATTAATGATTACTTTTTTCTTATTGTGATTATTCTCATCAGTATTTGCTTGTATTTCTACATTATTTTTCCATTTATTTTTTGGGTTCACTTCAAACTGTTCGCTATAGTACATATCCTTGTGAAAGAATCTCCTCAGCTTACACTTTTTGCCAGAATCAGTTTCCAAATAAGGCATTGGAACAATAATGTACGGAGATATACACAAAATCGTATCGTCCAAATATTTTTTGAAACTATTTGAAAATGGTAACTCGGATACGGTTAATATTTCAATTTCCGTGGGTTTTTGGTTTGTCGTATCGTTTTGACATTGCAGAGGGTCGGAATTGTCGTTTACTGATTCTGCTGTGAATTTTTTAAGCTCAGACGATTGTAGGGGATCAGTGAAATTTTCAGATTTTGTTGGTAGTTTTTTGTTATGAGTCTCCTCACTTTTTTGAATTACTGTAAAAGTTTCTTCATTGGACGAAGGTTGATTTTCAACTATATCTTTGATTGAAATCTATATAAAAAGAAATGTTACTTACTTACTTACTACCATACCATATCCCACTACTGCTATCTTAGACCTCATATTTCTTACTATTTCTAAGATAGCAATAATGGGACATATTCACAATCCAATTATGAGTTCTTACTTTGGGTTTGATAGTCTGAGGCGAATTCTCTTTGCTCTCGTCCAAAAACTCCATCCTAGAATTCGGAGGCAAGGCAAATTCGTCCATCAAAAACGACTTTTCTAATCTCCAATTGTAGGCGGTAAAAATCAAAAAAGATGCCACCTTTTTCACCCGTACCAACTCCGCTTTAGAAGCCCCTCTCAACAAAATCGTAGAACCCAAATGAGGAGCTACAAGGCCTTCGAAAAACATCAAAGTTTTTGTTGCCCCCTTATCAGTGTTAAAGCTTTTCAAATAAAACCTTTTACAAACACCTAAATTGGGCCGGCCAATGTGAGCATCTACTGCTGTTACTATGTCAGCTCCGGTGCACCTGGCCAAACGTTCCAGGACGGTTCTTTTAACATTGTGTACTAAGGTTATTTTGTGTTGGCGCAGCATATCCTGAGCTAGCCTGGATATATTTTTATGCACCAAAACCACATCGGGTTGTAGAGCGACAATGCGTGCGGCCACGTGACGCAAATACTCGTGCTCCTGCATCATTACAGGCTCCAAGGACATCAATCTGCCCTCGGTTCTTTGATATACAATCGAACATTCCAACAATAGGATTTTGGGATTTTCAATTTCAATTGCCATATCTTTATGGGCCACATTTTTCGTACAAACTATTCCGTTTACCAAATAAGTTTCTTCTTTGATACAGCCGGGAAGTTTTTTGATTTGCACGTAGTTTCTTATGTCGAGTTCAATGGCGTCGTGATTTTTGTCGGGTCTTATTACAGTGACTACGTCGCAGATCAATGGGATCAATATGTGGATCCATGCCAACGATAGGCCTTGGGTGGCAAGGAGTTGCTTCAGTAGACTTTGTTCGTGTTGCTCATATGCCTCTGACAGGAGTTCGTATGCTTCTTTTTCTCCATTTTCTTCTCTGAGTGAAGAGGCATGGAACCAACCTATTGATATAGAGAGGAAAGAATTATATAAACTACTTTGATTTTGTAAGTTTGGCACTTTCCTCTTTACATGCAAAAAGTTTTAAAATTTTCTCTTCCCTAGTTTTCCAGGAAAACTTTGAAATATGTGAGACTGTATTTTCAACTAATTCAGTTTGTGTAGGTTGATTCCCAAGATTTTTCATATTGCTGTTTTTCACTGGAAAAATTTGAAATTTTGGGAAAATGAACTTCTTACGTTCCTCTTTACATGCAAAAAGTTTTAAAATTTTCCCTTTACTAGTTTTTCAGGAAAATGTTGTAATATATGAGACTGTATTTTCAACTAATTCAGTTTTTGTAGGTTGATTTCCAAGATTTTTCATGTTGTTGTTTTCCACTGATACAATTTGATATTTTAGGAAAATGAGCTTCTCACCTTCCTCTTTACATGGAAAAAGTTTCAAAATTTTCCCTTTGCTAGTTTTCTAGAAAAACTTTGAAATGTGTGAGACTGTATTTTCAACTAATTCAGTTTATGTAGGTTGATTTCCAAGATTTTTCATGTTGCTGTTTTTCACTTGAAAAATTCGAAATTTTGGGAAAATGAGCTTCTCACCTTCCTCTTTACATGCAAAAAGTTTCAAATTTCTCCCTTCACTATTTTTCCAGGAAAACTTTGAAATGTGAGACTGTATTTTCAACTAATTCAATTTGTGTAGGTCGAGGTATAGGTTGATTTCCAAGATTTTTCATGTTCCTGTTTTTCACTGGAAAAATTTGAAATTTTGGGAAAATGAGCTTGACACCTTCCTCTTTACATGCAAAAAGTTTCAAAATTTTCCCCTTACTAGTTTTCCAGGAAAATTTTGGAATGTGTGAGACTGTATTTTCAACTAATTCAGTTTTTGTAGGTTGATTTCCAAGATTTTTCATGTTGTTATTTTCCACTGAAACAATTTGAAATTCTGGGAAAATGAACTTCTCACCTTCCTCTTTACATGCAAAAAGTTTCAAAATTTTCTCTTTACTAGTTTTCTAGGAAAATTTTGAAATGTGTGAGACTGTATTTTCAACTAATTCAGTTTGTGTAGGTTGATTTCCAAGATTTTCAATGTCACTGTTTTTCACTGGAAAAATTTGAAATTTTAGAAAAACGAGCTTCTCAGCTTCCTCTTTACATGCAAAAAGTTTCAAATTTCTCCTATCACTAGTTTTCCAGGAAAACTTTGAAATGTGTGAGACTGTATTTTCAACTAATTCAGTTTGTGTAGGGTAATTTCTAAGATTTTTCATGTTGTTGTTTTTCATTAGGAAAAATTTGAAATTTTGGGAAAATGAGCTTCCCAGCATCCTCTTTACATGCAAAAAGTTTTAAAATTTTCCCTTCACTAGTTTTCCTGGAAAATTTTGAAATGTGTAAGACTGTATTTTCAATTAATTCAGTTATTGTAGGTTGATTTCTAATATTCCTTATGTTGTTATTTTCCACTGGGAAAATTTGAAATTTTGGGAAAATAAAATTTTCACCTTCCTCTTTACATGCAAAAAGTTTCAAAATTTTCCCTTTACTAGTTTTCCAGGAAAACTTTGAAATGTGTAAGACTGCATTTTCAATTAATTCAGTTATTGTAAGTTGATTTCCAATATTCCTTATGTTGTTATTTTCCACTGGAAAAATTTGAAATTTTGGGAAAATGAGCTTTTCACCTTCCTCTTTACATGCAAAAAGTTTTAAAATTTCCCCTTCACTAGTTTTCCAGGAAAACTTTGAAATGTGTAAGACTGTATTTTTAATTAATTCAGTTATTGTAGGTTGATTTCCAATATTCCTTATGTTGTTATTTTCCACTGGAAAAATTTGAAATTTTGGGAAAATGAGCTTTTCACCTTCCTCTTTACATGCAAAAAGTTTCAAAATTTTCCCTTTACTAGTTTTCCAGGAAAACTTTGAAATGTGTAAGACTGTATTTTTAATTAATTCAGTTATTGTAGGTTGATTTCCAATATTCCTTATGTTGTTATTTTCCACTGGAAAAATTTGAAATTTTGGGAAAATGAGCTTTTCACCTTCCTCTTTACATGCAAAAAGTTTTAAAATTTCCCCTTCACTAGTTTTCCAGGAAAACTTTGAAATGTGTAAGACTGTATTTTCAATTAATTCAGTTATTGTAAGTTGATTTCCAATATTCCTTATGTTGTTATTTTCCACTGGAAAAATTTGAAATTTTGGGAAAATGAGCTTTTCACCTTCCTCTTTACATGCAAAAAGTTTCAAAATTTTCCCTTTACTAGTTTTCCAAGAAAACTTTGAAATGTGTAAGACTGTATTTTCAATTAATTCAGTTATTGTAAGTTGATTTCCAAAATTTTTCATGTTGCTGTTTTCCACTAGAAAAATTTGAAATTTTGGGAAAATGATCTTCTCACCTTCCTCTTTACATACAAAAAGTTTCAAAATTTCCCCTTTTTTAGAGGAATTTGTGGGGCATTTGGAGAATTTCGTGGTGGGCTATTTGGAGGAATTTGTGATGGGGTATCTGAAGGAATTTGCAGTACTTTTGAGGAATTATGCGTAAATAATTCCCTTTTGAGGAATTGTTTGCACCAATTCTGGGATGGTGGTTTACTCCTTTGCAAAGTACTCCCAACCAGTGACTTGAAACTTTCAGGAATAATGAATTAAAGTCTTTTTCATAGGGATAAGTTAATGAGAAGCTCCAAATAAAAGTTGCATGAAAAAACTGTAAGAATGTGCAGACTTGAAAATCAGTGAGTTTTTGAATTAATGAGTAAAAACTCTGAATCAAAAATAAATTAGTCATTATTGAAATCTCTTGTCGTTCTGATATAAAAATGAGGAGTTTCTGAACTACAGAATCTGGAATTCCATATTGTACGCTATAATTCCAGGGTGGTTTACCCCTCGGTTGAAAACTAGGAGATTGAAAGACAAAATTACATAATTTTAGCTGTAAATTAAGGATTAAAAATTGCTCTTCTTGCCTAGAAAAACCTATACAACCATTACTTACTACACTTCAATACAAAAAACCCTATCGAACTTATACTTTTCAACATTTTCACAACAAAGCAAAATCGAAATTTGCATACCTCAAACCACAAAAACCTTATCGCAAATATTTAACTTACCAGACTCTGGTGCCAGTTCGCGTTGTTCCGAAGGCCTCACCACTGTAGTTTCTTCGTGTTTGCACTGTTGCTGAACATTTTCCACCTCTAAAATTTCAGGAGGCCTGGACAAATATACACTATTGGCTTCTACATTGAGATCCAACATGTAGGAGTTGGACGTTGGAAGGTTGGCAAGGATTGGAGATTGTTCGTTGTCAGAGTCTGGAAGAGGTAGGGAATGATTGATACAAAACAAATAAAATCATAGTTTTTTAATATATTTTACAATCATAAAAAGTATAAGGCCTGAGGCTCCAATAATTGTGCTTATCATTAAAGCTGGACATTTCTTTGCTGGTTGGTTTTCAAGATTTGAAACTTCATTTTCTAGTGATTTTAGGCAATTGTTCAAACATCTTGCGGCTGGATGTAGTTTTATATCAGCCAATTGTACATCTTTTCTTTGTAAAGCATAGGAAAGATTAGCGTAGTGCTTATTAATTTGAGTGTCAATGTGGCTTAATGCGAGACTAAGAAATTCATTGTCAATGGTTACATCGTGCTTTTTTTCAGTAGGAATTTGCAAGTTTTTGCAGCGGCTCAGGATTTTGTCTCTGATTTCAGCATCTTCGATGCCTATAACTTTCAAGTCCTCTTCTACAAGGATTTTTAGCAAATAGGAAGTGATTCCATTGTCTTGGAAATTTTTCAGGTACTTTTCTGCGTCGCAGCTACGTAGGATCGTATCTAGCAAGTCCATAGTTAATCTAGAAGCTACTCTATAGATATTTTTTTTTGAAATTGAAGCAAAGTTTTCCAAATTGTAGTAAAGTAGTAAACAAATTTTGAATTTTTACCATAACCTCACAATCACATTTTCAATGCCATGATGTCAGTCCTAGATCTCAACCGCAAACATTCCATAGAGGTCTGTAGGTGACGTCACAACTATTAGCTATTGATATAGTGACGTCGGTTGCAGACTCTGCGGACTCGAGACTTGGCGAACGTACGTCATATTATAAAACTACTGAAAAAAAAAACTATGCTCACTAAAATTCTCACCTGTTGACTCGTGAGCTATCTGTTGTACCCAGCTGGGTTCTTCTTGTGCAGCAGGCACTTCGTAATTAGGACTAGCCAGTGTAAAATTACTGGAAAATAGGTTGCCTTTTCTATAGCGTACGTACCCATCAACAAATGCATTATTCTCTGTAAAAGATTCAATGTAGCTGCCTTCGAGAAGTGCTTGTGATAAAGCTGCCGCTTGCACCCTACAAAAAATAATTCTAAAATCACTAAACATAACATATAAATAATATTTGCCTTGTCTTAGCTTTTTGCTGACAAATAAGCCAATCAACCAATTCAGATCCTAAAAAACATTCCGAATAAGTCCTCAAACGATATTTGTAAGGGGTACAATTCAAGCCAGTTGCCTGTTTACAAATTTCTTCGTAAAGATTCCTGAGTGAAACAGAGTTTTGTAAAGCCTTGCATTTTTCTTCGTTTGTAAGATATGTAACAGAATTGCTGCCAGATGCAAACTTTTCCTCCTGATAACCAACAGAGATTTTTCTTCTACTACCCTCACTTGCTTCAGAAGTATTTAAAGTAGGAGAAACATCATTCAGCATTTGATTACTGGATAAATCTCCAAATTTACTTTGTAAATTTTCAACTAAAGTCCTTAGATCAGACGTGAGATTGGCAGTAAAGTTTGAAGACTGCAAATAGGAGAGAACTACTTTACAACAATAAGTGCAAACTCTTAAATCTCCGGTGCAGCCAAAAATTTTTCCAGGGATTTGCTGATTACAGCATTGTGAACAAAAAATCTGCCCACATACTCTACAATGATGCCTTCTCCTAAATGTAGTAAACTTTTCAGAACACTCGTAACATTCTTTACTAACAGAGTCTGGCATCCAATATTGCTTTAGGTCAGTGTCTGCATAATCTTGCAAATTCTAAAACAACAATTATAATACTTATTGATAATTAAATTGATGAACGTACAGTGGTTTTTAAAGCTAAAAGATTGCTGATTCTTTTCAAGACATTTGGCAAACTGCGCCCTTCGTTCAAGTCAACAGGATAAATATTAGGTGCCAGTGGTGGTGGTGTAGCATCTTTAGCCCATGTTGGTACAGGTTCCTGGATAGCTGCACTAGTTTCAGAACCAGGACTTGAAGATTCTTCAGTTTTAGTTATTTTAAATAACTTTGATATAAATTGGCCTACACTTTGAGGTCGTTCTTCTTGCTGCAAGGGGGCAAACTCCGTAAGCTTTGTTGGCGATTGTAGATTACTCATCGCGAATGCACTTTTTGGTATTATTGAATTAAACTAATAATAATTATTATCATGTTTTTGAAGTTGAAAAAGTTTATTTTGTTTGTTGTTATTTATTATTAAGGTCAGCTGAGATGTTTGAAGTTTTCCACGTCACTGTCACTTAAATTTTTCAACCATTTTGTTAATGCAGTATATGTGTATCCTTGTTTCACTCAAAGAAAAAGACAAGGACGGAAAATGTAAACAGCTACAACGGGAGTGGTTTTTCTGTTTGGATTGTCAAATCTTAAAAATCGAAAAATCTAAAAATCCATTTTCGTGTTTTTTTTTTCTCACGTGTGATTATGTTGGTTTTTTGAAAATATTTCGAAAAATACGCTCATTTAAATAAAACAAGTGGCCAAAATGTTGGTCCTTTTCGAGACCGCTGCTGGTTATGCCATATTCAAGGTATTTATTCATTTTATAATGAAATTATTGAAAAATGCTCCAAAACATAACCTCACATAACCATGCTTTTTTAGCTTCTCGATGAGAAAAAACTGGAAAAAGTCGACAGTTTGTACACTTCCTTCCAGACTCCTGACGATGCCAGCCAAGTGTAAGTACCATTACTGAATCGTCAATAAAATGTAGTAAACGATAATTTATTCCTTGGAAAACGCTATTTAAGTAGGAAACTTGCTGTAAGTTTGACTAGAAACACTGAGCGCTCAGAGCATGTTTCATCTTTTTCTCTTTTGATGAGAAGAACAGGGATAAAACTGGTCTACTCGAACTTTACCTTGATGGTAAATCATGGTAAAAGTTTTACCAGCACCAAACCAAAGTTTCCAAAGGGCCAAATTTTGGACCGACGGATAAGTGTCAGGTTGTTACCTAGCAGGTACTTCCTATTCTCTAAGGGCCAAATTATGGACCAACTGGTAAGTTTCTGGTTGTTACCTAGCAGGTACTTTCTATTCTCTAGTGCATAGAAAGTACCTGCTAGGTAACAACCAGACGTTTACCAGTCAGTCCATAATTTGGCCCTAAAGCATGGAAATTACTTGTTAGGTAATAACCTGACACTTACAGGTTGGTCCATAATTTGGCCCTAAAGTTAATAAGTTGTCAGTTAATCGGTAATTTGATGACGCATCTGGGGTGCCTTATGGACATTTGCTTTATGTTTCGGCACCCCAGATGATGTCATAAAGTTATCAAGTAATAGTGATGGCAAATTACTGGTAATTTATAATTTGGTAAGAACATTAGGTAATTTATGGTAATTTTGAGTAATTTTCAAAATACATACAGCAAAGCAACAGTAGAAATGACATATGTATATGGAGATTTCATTTTTGAGAATTTATAATAATAATGGACCTTTCTCATGCAATGAACAACAAGGATAGTTTATTAAGATTTCTGCAATAAAGAAAAAGACACATATAATGATGCAGGATACCTGTGTGGAATGACTTTGATTGGTTCCACTTGTCAAATTGTGCAATTTCGGTTATGTTTCTGTTATTGTTTATTTTTAAACGTAAATATGACAAAATACGTATTAACATTAATTAGAAAGGAAACCCACCGCAGCAAAAATGTTTGCAGCAAACCTTTAATTGTACTGTTCAATGAATGTGCCTAATCTGGCATTCCTTCTATAATGGACTGTATTATTTTACTGGTTTGGATAGAGGGCTTAGCAAAGGAAACGAACGTATACTGAGTGCTGGACTGAAAAACACTTTATTTGTCACCCTTAATGTAAAATTGGCTCCACAACACTAAATTCCACTAACTAGTGCAACGCAGTACACTTTTCAGTAGCCAAAAAGTAATATTAACTCTTAGGTAAACTTTTCTAAAGGGCACAAGTCCAGTCACCAAATCTTAATTATCTAACCAATTGGACGTTTCGGAAAACAATGCAAGATGGAAACCGGAAATCTTCCCCCTTCCACCAAAAAAACCACGATTTCCCGAAAATTCTACATTTCCGCCGTTTCGTACTTGTCGTTCGACTTGTCGCATTGACATCTGCCAGGTGGTGCGTTCGACACTACCGCGTGTTGCATCCCCGAATCGATACCAACCGTGCGTTCGTTATTTTGGTCCGAGTTCTCCGAGCTTGACTTTACCGTTCGTTTATTTAAAAAGTGTACTCGGTGCAGCCTCATTCGCGTTCATTTATTAAAATTTCTGGCACTTTTATACAGCGTTCAACTGCTCTGTTCGCTCACTGGTCACGTGATTACGGCTCCGCTCAGCACGCTCTGCTCTTTGAGCAAAATACCGAACGCAAGGCATGTATCAGACAGGGACCGAAAACTTTTGCGGCCTCTGTTCAGAGCTGCTCCAAACGCCCAAAATCCGACGAGTTTGGACAAGTTGTAAAAAATACGTTTTTTGGCTCGCAATCCCCAACATGTACATTATTATTGTATTTGATTTAAAAATCGTTATTTTACGAACCCGCAAATCTCTGTCCCAACTTAAATCGTCTTCATTCGGGTTGAGAGCATGTAACTATTGTTTTCTTACAATTTGATTGCTTGGGAACTTGTGAAAAGAAAGGTTTCACTTCTTTTTCGCCTAATTCTGACAAGAACTCATTCAACTCATTTGAACCATTGTATCATAAACAGTTTTTGTATTAATTTTCAGCAATATTGATTGATTATTGAGGTTAGCTTAAATATGTCAGGGTCAGACCGTGTTCAGTAAATTGACGATTTAATTATCTGTCACCCACAAGATGCGCGCGCAGCACAGGTAAAATGAGAAAGGTCCATTGTATTATTCTTAAATACTTGTCAAAGCAAAATTAACAATTTAATTCTTTAAGGGCCGGTTGATTCACCTGTTAAACTGTCAGGTATGCAATCTGACGGATAAAAACGCAATCTCTATTCCCATTGGTCGGTTAGTTATAGTCAATAATATTATTGAACGGTAAATTTATAGTTAGCAGATAGTTACCAGCAAGTTTATCTGAAGATGAATAAACCGAGCCTGAGACAAAATAATAATTTACTTTTTTCCGGGCTTCACTTGATCTAAAAATTAGGTTCAATTAACAAAACGGTAGTCATATAAAGTTCATATAGCTTGGATTCTTTGAAAAAACTATTATATGTAGGTTTGTTCCAACAAGTCATAAACCGTCCCATGAAAGATTGGAAACTATTCTGTATACGAATTTCACATTCTATGCACAAATTTTAAGCTTTGTGCAGAATCGTGACGGTACATTGTACAGTTTCCTCTTGGGTTTCCTGCTGTGGTTGTAATAAAGCTTATAACATAACTATATCTATCAAACTATGCCTCCATCCAAGCCTGCTTCTTCCAAGTCGGTGAACGATTCGGATTTTACACAGTCTATTATGACGTAATATTCCTGGAATATTACATGGAAACTTACCGAGAAAATTACCATAAGTTATCAGTTTAAAATTATCGTTTTTGTAATATTACCCCGAGGGCAAGGTATTATTATGGTAATTTACATAATATTACCGAAACTTCTCTCGGTAATATTCTCTCTTGCTATCACTATCAAGTAACATACTTCTCTCAAACAACCTTGCACCAAACCCATAGAGGCGTATCTATTTTTGTAATTTTCAGAGATATTGGTTTGAGTTTTTGGTACGTTTTGACTCAAAGACTTTAAAATAGCTCCTCAAAGTTTCATATTTTTGGCTTAAGTAGTCTTCACGTACCTAAATGGTCAAAATATGAAGACATGTCACAGAAAAAATGTTCAATTTTAAAAATTTTGTAATTTCAATTTTGAAGCTGATCAGCTGCGAAATTGTTGAAAATAAATTGAAATATATAGTAGGATTGGGGATAACGGCTGGATTTTTTACGTTTTCTTCTTTAGATATCGGGTAAAGCAGCCAAACAAGTTTATTTTTCTAAAATAATTCTTTATTACTAACCAAGCTTTCGATACTTTTTTGTATCTTCTTCAGGGCTAAAATTATATAAGTTAAAATTATAAAATTACAAAATTATGACTTACTTGTAAATAAATTATTTAAAATAAAAACTGCATAGATAGGTATAAAATTTGTATAAGGACTATAAAGTTAGAATTGTAAAGTTTTTTTAAAAAATTTTTTGTTGTTAACCCGTAAGTACTACTACCAGAGTCCATGGGACCCGAGCGTTTATTTGTTTTCAAATATTTCGGAGAATTTGGGGAGGGGGGTACTGAGCGGTCAGTTATGCTTCTGGCGATACCCTCAGAACCAGTGTGTGCAACGACACTATCATATACTCATTCATAAAAACATTTTCTCAACAATTGTGCGAACCATAGTTGAGAATGTGCATGAACATGAATCACATGGGTACCTAGAAAAATCAGGAATATGAGTGCAGATTTACTTGGAGAGGAACAAGGGGATCCTGCAATAGCTTCTCAACAACTTGCCAAGTCAAAACGTCGCCGTTGTGAAATTTGTCCTAGTGCAAAAGACAGAAAAACCAACTATTGCTGTTCAACCTGCAAAATTCCTATTTGTCTGAAATGCGCTTCATTGGTATGTCCAACCTGTATTTAGCTGTGGATTCTATGTAAGAAACTATGAAAAACAAGTTCAAGTTCAACTTTGTCTAATGAATATAATGTTTATAATTTTTTTTCTGCGTACAATTTTGGTTTTTGTTTATGGGTCCCCGAGACCCGATAGTAGTACTTATGTTACTACATTTTGGTAGTAGTACTTACGGGTTAAAACAAAGTCTTTTGTTATAGGTAAATTTTGTGCTATCATGTTTAATTTTTACTTTTTTCTGGTTTTTTTAATAGTTAAGGTAAAGGTTATATTTACGGTTTGGCTGCTTTACCCGCTATCTAAAGAAGAAAACATAAATTGAAATCTTAATTAACAGGTTTATAGAGAATTTAATGGGCTTTAATTCAAGCCTCATTACGTTAGGATTGGATTGAAATTAACAAAGTTATGAGGCAAAACATGTGTCAATGTCATTTTGAACAAAATCAAAATTCCAAAAACTGACATTGAGGGACGTTTTATCTTTTTTTGAGAAAAATTTTTGAGGGATTAGATTGAAATTTAGCAAATAAAGAGAGGAAAGATTGAAATTTAAGGAAAAAAATAAAAAATATCGACTCTTCGCTCATCGCTCAAAAGACTTTCAAGTTTTGCAGCCACTAAACTATTGAAGCTGCATTGAAACTATGTAAAACAGATTTGTAGAGAATTTAATTGGTTTTAATAGACCTATCTATTTTTACCTGGTATGCGCACGCAACACGAGGCAATGCCTGTCTATTGGCTAACTAGTACAGGTGAGAGATGTTTGTTTTGCACGCTGGGCATCTCCGTGTCCTTGTTCATTGCCCGTGGTCTGACAAGAATAAAAGTACGATTGATATTTAACTTGACATAGCTTGACAAAGTGACATTCAAAAATTGTTTGAAATTTTCATTGTCAAATACGTTGCACAACACGCGGTCTTTCTCCTTTCTTTTTTATCCCGTCCAAATAAGAAGAACGGACTGCTATGCGTAAGTCTAAAATAATTTGGTACGTTTTGCCTCGTCTTGCGCAATGATCGTTCTGTGTCTTTTTTTATCTAATGAAGTTTTCGTATTATTTCCTCTTTGTCTGGTAAAATAGATAGGTCTATTCAAGCCTTATTACGTTGAAATCAGATTGAAATTAACAAAGTTATGAGGCAAAACGTGTGTCAATGTCATTTTTGACAAAATCAAAATTCCAAAAATTGACATTGAGCGACGTTTTATTTTTTTTTGAGAAAAATTTTTGAGGGATTGGATTGAAATTTGACAAATAGAGAGAGGAAAGATTGAAATTTAGGGAAAAAAATTAAAATTTCCTTCTGTTCGCTCACCTTGATAAAAATCAAAGTTAAAATACTTTCAAGCTTCACAGCTGCTAAACACAAAAACCCTATAAAAACAATAATCACAATCACCTCTAAAAACCCAATAGAAATTTTTAAAAACCTGGGTTTTTTTGAACTCAGATAAAACACCTCAAGATTTGAAGTATTTCTTAAAACTACCTTTCAAACTACCTTTAGAAATGCTCCAAAATACCTACGAAATACTCTGAAATATCCTGAAATTCTCTAAGTTATTCTAAAAATATCCCAACATTCTTACAAAACAAGTGAGAGTTAGAATACCAGGGCCCTTATTCTCAAAACAGGGTAGCAACGTTCTCATGAGAACATAGGTTCTGTCTTAGTCGTTCATATTTATATTTCCCTAACACTGACAAAGACAAAGTGATCATTCTCCTGAGAATGATGTTTCAAGAATAGACACCCTGTATACTAAAAATACCCATCTGCTAAAATCATCTCCCACTAAGAAAATACCTAAGATTCTCTCAAAACTGAATCGTTCTCTAACATTATAATAAAATACGAAAAATCCTCAATTAACACACAATATTTCATTTTCCAGAGTAAAACTAAAACACTTTGAAAAGTTCAAAGATATCACAGAAGCTTTGGTAGCGACCACAGCAGCTGTAGAAGGCAAAATATCAAAAAGTCTCAAAAACGTCCTCAAAAACCATGTCACAACCGACATGCACGAGCAATTGCTAGTGGCCGACGCGAAACTAGGCTCGGCCATCAAAGAAAAGTACAGTCTGCAATGCGTATCCAGCAGCGCCGTTCAAGAATTGATGCGATGCATCCGCTCCCAATTGGACAGTCTAATCTTGGACACTCCAAAGAAAGAAATGACCGCTATGGTTTTGGGTCTAGCCCATTCCTTGTCCAGATACAAATTGAAGTTTTCACCTGATAAGGTTGACACTATGATAGTCCAAGCTGTTTCTTTATTGGACGATTTGGATAAGGAATTGAACAATTACACAATGAGGTGTAGAGAATGGTACGGATGGCATTTTCCAGAATTAGGCAAAATTGTTGCTGACAATATGGCTTATGCAAAAACTGTTAAGGTTATTGGAACAAGAGAACATGCAGGTAGTTCGGATTTGTCTGATTTGCTACCTGAAGACATAGAAGAAAAAGTCAAAGAAGCGGCTGAAATTTCAATGGGCACTGAAATATCTGAAGAAGATATTGAAAATGTTATCAATCTTTGTGACCAAATTGTTGATATGACTAATTATAGGCAACAATTGTATGATTATTTGAAAAATAGGATGATGGCAATGGCTCCTAATCTAACAGTTTTAGTTGGAGATCTTGTTGGGGCCAGGCTTATTGCACATGCTGGTTCTCTTATTAATTTGGCCAAACATCCAGCTTCAACTGTGCAGATTTTGGGTGCAGAGAAAGCATTATTTAGAGCCTTGAAAAGCAAAAAAGACACTCCTAAATACGGTTTGATTTACCATGCACAATTAGTAGGTCAGAGTAGTACCAAAAACAAAGGGAAAATGTCTAGGATGTTAGCAGCCAAAGCATCTCTAGCCACAAGGGTAGATGCTTTAGGTGATGATGTCACTATTAATTTAGGTGTTGAGCATAGGGCTAAATTAGAGGCTAGATTGAGAGCTCTTGAAGAAGGCAATGTTAAAAGACTCAGTGGCACAGGCAAAGCAAAAGCTAAATTTGAAAAATACCAGGGTGTCAGTGAAATTAAGCAATATCCTGATGCGGCTGATAGTACTTTGCCTTCTACAAGCAAAAGAAAGAGGGACGAGTCTGAAGTTAAGCAGGAAGAAGAAGTTGAAGTCAAGCAGGAAGTTGGTGAGAAGAAGAAGAAGAAAAAGAAGGTCAAACAAGAGGAGATGCAAGTAGTTGAAGGTAATTTTTTTTATTTTTTTTTGAGTTTAGTGTTTCACAATATTTTTTTTTAATTGTAGCTGAAGAACAGACTCCTAAAAAGAAAAAGAAGAAAGCCAAGCAAGAACAAGAGGAGTCTATTAAAGAAGAAGCACCTGAAGCTGAACAGCCTACTTCAGAAAAAAAGAAAAAGAAGAAGAAAGTGAAGCAGGAAGCTGACGAGTCGATGGAGGCGGCAGCTGCAACACCTCAGCCAGGCAGCAGCGAAAAAAAGATGAAAAAGAAAAAAAAGTTGGCTTCTGAGTCATCCGAGTAGAAGAAAACTTGCAATTTTAGTTTAAGAATTTTAATACGAAGCAGGAACTTCTTATTTTGCAATTGGATTTTTTAACTACATTGACCGTTCAGTAATTTAGAAATTATTTTTCTATAATTCTTTACATTAGGAGTAAAATTAATCAAAGGGATTTTTACATAATTTTTTTAGTTCTTTGAATTCTACCATTATTATTTTTGAATTGTTATGTAGACACAAATGTAATATAAAATATAAGGACTGTTTGAGGATACAAGATTTTTAGTACATTTTGATATTTGTTGGAGTTTTTTGTTCTAAATTGTCTCAAATAAATTTCAAACTACATATAGGTTGGTTTTTGAATTTCCCTAACTTTACTCCTGCATTTTCTAGTTTTTCTCAGCTTTTCTCACTCACTCTTTGTGCAAAAAACAAAAAAAAATAAAAGCAACAAAAATATATTTAAAAAAAATGACTTACTCTATCTATACTATATTAACAAAAACTACTGGTTATTTATAGACATCTTAGGCCACCTGGGTATAGTTTGCCTTGCAATACACTGAAAAAAGTAACCAATTAAAAATTTCCCACATAAAAAAAATCAAAATAAATTACCTATAAACTCAGAAACAGGATCATTTTCACCATCTCCACGCATAGTACCAGTAATTTCATCATTTTCAACCATAGGCATAAACAAATGCACAAACTCCGAACTGTACGGAGGCCCAATAGTTTCCAAAACCTCAGTAACAAAATACCTTATCAAAGAAATATCAGTGTCGCCCTTTTGCCAACACTGCTTGATATATTTGACCACAGGAACCACACAACCTGAACACAAAAGGTTGACCATCCTGTCTAGAACCATTTTTCGCATTTCTAGTTGCACCAGAATTTCCAATTCATCCTGTTTGGACTCAAATAGACGTACCAGCAACTCTAAAACTTGATTGTGCAAAGGCATATGGCAAGTTACTACTTCATCCAACAAGGCCAAGTGTATTGGAGTGTGTTCAGTTGATAGTTTGAAGTAGCTTGGTTCAGTTACTGTGCATTCAACCCAGCGAATTACTCCTAGAGAAACTACTGGAAATCTACAAAAATGATTTTAGGGAAAATGTTAATGCAATAAAAATCAATTAACCTTAATGATTGATAAATTGTTGCCAGTTCGGCCATCAATTCGCTGCTGCCCTTGTTGCCATTGCAAATATTGTGAACAGTTTCTATTGCACGAATTGTTGGTTGTAATTCGTCCTTGTTGCACACCCGTTTTTGGCCTAAAATAATTTTGTTAGAGAAAAGTGTTAACTGTCAATGAAAAATGTTACCCTTTTTGGGAAGGACTTCACTGACACTAGCAGCATAGGCCAGCAAATGTATGTATTTAGGCTTGTGGTCAGGATTTAATTTGACGCCAGGTTTGAAGAGAGATTCTACTAAGAGTTCTAGAAAAAAAATTGATACATTATAGGCACTGAAAATTTAAATCGACTTTACCCAGAAACTGTGGAGTCCTTATCAAATCAATAGGAGGTGGATCTGTACCATTGTAATTCCTGAACAGAACAGAAATATCAGCAGGATTTAAAGTATTCTTTGACAACATGGCACTGAGAGCTTGTAGTGCTTGAGGGTAAGCTGAAGCTCCATTTAAAGCCATTGTAATAGGTGTCACATCGTGACCGCTACAAAACAGAGCAAAATTAAATTAAATTAATTAAAATTACTCAAAATTATTTACTCTTTTTGAGCACACTTTGTAATTTCTTGCGACAATCTTTTCATGCTGGAACCCCCTTTATTTTCTCTGGCCAAAATGTGTATCACCAATTGGCTGTAGACATAAGTGTGTTGTCCGTGGCAAACCATTTTCTACAAATGTTTAAAAATATTAACTAGAAATTACAGTACAAGTAGTACATACTGCACATTCTTTGCTAGTAGTTTGCCATTCATCAGGATGAGTCAAAAAGCTGGTAATTGAAGTTTTCACTACTCTTGAAAAGACTTCCAATTGTTGAGCTGCTGTCGATATGCTGGTGATTTCTCCTTGAAAACCAGCATCAGATATTAGTTTAATTGTAAAATTCAACATTAAACAATCAGGATATTCTTCTGCTAGCCTATAAATCAGTGATCGCCAAGTGGGGTGTTCAATTAGCTGGGTAAGCCAAGCAGGAGTTTCACCTTCCTCAGTGAAAATGGTGTCAGCTTTTTTAGGGTCAAAAGATTTCAAAATCATTTCTTTGAGATGGTTTTCGACCATAGCTTGAACATCTTGGACTTTTACACCTGAAAAAAATTATATTCAGTAGGTATAGAATACTAATAAGTAGGTATTTTACCTCCAATGATGAGCCACTCAGCAATCAAATTAGCCATTTGAGCAACAGCAGTATAGTTTTGAGACAACTCTTCTATGACTTGCAAAGGGTTTCCTCCGGCTTGGAAATAGCGCTTCAGCTGGGAAAATATGCCTGGCTCCATAATATAATCGGGAGTGGCAAATCTAACCGCGCATTCGGCCAGGATTTGTTCTGGGGACTCAGATTCATCAAGACCATCATCCTAAAGAGTTTTGATAGTTTTTGATGGGCAGAATAAATTAAATATGGATTTTTTACCTCATTGTCTGGGTCTCCACTATTCCAAGGCCTGTCTTCGTAATCTTCTTCCATATTTTAATGCAAAACCACTGTTTTATCAAATATATTCACAAAAATCACAACCACAACTTATGAATAACAAATAAATTATTGTTTGTTTACTATTATCTGTCAAATAATAACTGTATTCGGTGCCAACTTCATGCACAAGAAGTAAGTACTCCGTACAGTTGGAGTAAAGTCGGAGCAGATTCTTCGAAAAGTGATCTGAGCTGACCGAAACTAACCCGAATGATCAGAGTGGACAAAGATTACTTAGAGTGAGCAATCCGAACCAATTCATTCATGAATTTATCTTCGTACGTTTTGAATCGGTTGAGAACTGATCCAGAATCACATTCGTGGCAACATAAGTTGAAGTAAAAGTTGTATTCCTTTCACACCTCGGAGGAGCTCGGGAACAGTTACGCGCTTATTCCTTTCGAGAAGTGTTTGTTGCACCCTGAAGTACTCAAGCCCGAATCAAACCATTTAAATGCACAAAAGTCAGCGCAACTGTTCCTTTCAAATCGGGGCCGACTAGCACCAGAGCGATTAGCTTTAGTGTTCTAAACCCTAGAAAGGAATACAACTAAAGTTAGAACAATTTTTGAACATAAATATTTATCTATAATGGTGTTTCGATTGGTAGATCTAGTGCAGAACTATTCTCTGTCCAACGAGCCTACGGAGTATGACAGAGTCAAAATGGCGGCCAGGTTTACACTGAACACTTATTTATGCCATTTATTTATTTCAAAATCTTACAAAACATCACTCTTCAGTGTAAAGCGGGCTGATAAATGACCAATAATAACGAACCTTTTTGAAAATTTTGTTGTTCGTCACTCCGTAGGTTGTTTGGACAGTTCGGTTGGACAGAGTATAGTGCAATTTTTTTTATTTCTTTCTTTCTCTTCTACAGGTCGATTAAAAAGCTGCAAATACACTCAATGCGCATTGAACCTACACATCGGAAACGCAATAATAAGATTATCAGCGAGAAAGAGCTCCTTATTCGAAGTAAGACTTTTACTTAATTTACTCAATTTTAAATGTGAACATAAATTACTTTACACTAAAAAGCCGACCCAAAGTCACCCGAAGAGTCGGAGTGAACAAGGATTACTTAGTGTGCACAGAGTTAGCAATCCGAACCAAAAATCCATTCATGAATTTAGTTTTGTGCGTTTTTAATCAGTTGTGAAATAATCCAGAATCACATTCTGAACTGATTTTTAACTGGGTTCTTTGAAATGCAAAATGTAGTATCATTCGTTCGGAGTTACTCGGACTAAGTGGCAACATTTCAAGATGGAGTAGAACAGTTATTTAGTCATATTTAGCTCTAAGCTTAGAGAGTGAGGTTCTTATTCAAAGTAAGACTTTTTACTCCCTGTACTCGAGTTTGAATGTGAACGTAAAGCCGATCCAAACTAACCCACACAGTCGGAGTTAACAAGGATTACTTAGAGTGCATAGAGTGAGCAATCCGAACCAATCCATTCATCAATTGAATTCATACGTTTTGTATCGGTTGAAAATTGATCCAGAATCACATTCCGAACTGATTTTTAGCTGGGTTCTATATGATGCAAAATCCATAGTATCATTCGTTCGGAGTTATTCGGAGTGAGTGGCAGCATTTCAAGTAGGAGTAAAATTAGAAGTTTTTTTGTCATATTTAGCTCTAAGATTACCAGAAAGAGAACTTATTTTTATTTGAAATAAGACTTTTACTCCGCATAGGGCAGGTATTATAAAACTATTATGACAGATAGCAAAAAGTTAACTTGTGGAATCACTATGGGAAGTAACGACATTCAAAAAATTAACTTTTAAGTTAACGGTCAAAATAGTTTTATAATACCCACCAAATCAAGTTTGAATGTGAACGTAAATTACTCTACATTAAAGATCCGACCCAAACTAACCCGAACAGTCAGAGTGAACAAGGATTAGTTAGAGTGAGCAATCCGAACCAATAATCCATTCATGAATATAGTTTCGTAAGTTTGAATCGGTTGAGAATTGATCTAGAACAAAGACTCCAGAATCACATTCCGAACTGATTTTCAATAATTCCTTGAGATGCAAAATCTAGTGTCATTCGTTCGGAGTGAGTGGCAACATTTCAAATTGGAGTGAAGTTAGAACAGTTTTGTTGTCATATTTGGCTCCAAGATTACCAGAGCCGCTTTCCAGTGACGTATTTTAAGGTGCTCCATACCCGTAGCTTCACACTCTGGTGCACCAAACAACTGTGGTGTCATTGCAACGCACCGTACTTTAAGCGTCGTGTTTTTGATGCACCCATAAAATTGCTGGTGCTTGAGAGGGCAGGGGAGAGGAAAAACGAACAGTTCAGTTGCGCTAAACTCTAATGCACTGGAACACCTATAAAGAGTCTGGGGCCCTCTAGAGCAGCTCAGGAGTGCTTAAAGTGCGTCACTGGAAAGCGACTGTGAGAGAGAGCTCCTTATTCGAAGTAAGACTTTTACTCCATTTCCTCGACTTTGAATATGAACGTAAATTACTCATGACTAAAGAGCCGACCTAAACTAACCCGAACAGTCGGAGTGAACAAGGATTACTTAGAGTGCACAGAGTTAGCATTCCGAACCAATAATCCGTTCATGAATTTAGTTTTGTACGTTTTGAATCGGTTGAGAATTGATCCACAATCACATTACGAACTCATTTTCAATAGTTCTTTGAGATGCAAAATCCAGTGTCATTCGTTCGGAGTTATTCGAAGTGAGTGGCAACATTTGAAGTTGAAGTAAAGTCAGAACAGTTTTTGGTCGTATTTATTCCTAAGATTATCAGAGAGAAAGAGCTCCTTATTCGAAGTAAAACTTTTACCTCATTCACTCGACTTTAAATGTGAACTTAAATTACTCTACACTGAAAAGCCGACCCAAACAGTCGAAGTGAACAAGGATTACTTACAGTGCACAGAGTGAGCAATCCGAACCAATCCATTCATGAATTTAGTTTCGTACGTTTGAGAATTGATCCAGAATCACATTCCGAACTGATTTTCAACAGTTCTTTGAGATGCAAAATCTATTGTCATTCGGAGTGATTGGCAACATTTCAAATTGGAGTAAAGTTAGAACAGTTTTGTTGTCACATTTTAGCTCCAAGATTACCAGAGTCGCTTTCCAGTGACGAATTTTAAAGTGCTACACACCCGTAGCTTCATACTCTGGTGCACCAAACAACTGTGGTGTCACTGGAACGCACCGTACTTCAAGGGTACATTCGAAATCACCCTAGGCGTGACACCGAGTGCACACCAGCCATGAATTATTTATGGCTGGTGTGCACTCGATGTGACGCCCACGGTGATTTCGAACGCACTCCAAGCGTCGTGTTTTTGATGCACCCATAAAATGGCTGGTGCTTGAGAGGGCAGGGGAGAGAAAAAATGAACAGTTCAGTTGCGCGAAACTCTAATGCACTGGAACGCCTATAAACAGTTTGGGGCTCTTTAGAGCAGCTCATGAGTGCTTGAAATGTGTCACTGAAGAGAGAGAGAGCTCCTTATTCGAAGTAAGACTTTTACTCCGCTTAGGGCGGGTATTATAAAACTACTTTGAGAGTTAACTTAAAGTTAACTCTCAAAGTAGTTTTATAATACCCGCCCTTAGTCAACTTTGAATGTGAATGTAAATTACTTAACTAACAGAAGTTAACTTTAAGTTAACTCTCAAAGTAGTTTTATAATACCCGCCCAGTCAACTTTGAATGTGAACGTAAATTACTCTACACTAAAGAGCCGACCTAAACTAACCAGAACAATCGGAGTGAACAAGGATTACTCACAGTGCACAGAGTGAGCAATCCGAATCAATCCATTCATAAATTTAGTTTTGAATCGGTTGAGAATTGATCCAGAATCACATTCCGAACTGATTTTCAACAGTTCTTTGAGATGCAAAATCTAGTGTCATTCGGAGTGATTGGCAACATTTCAAATTGGAGTAAAGTTAGAACAGTTTTGTCGTCACATTTAGCTCGAAGATTGCCAGAGAGCCGCTTTCCAGTGACGGATTTCAAGGTGCTCCAGACCCGTATCTTCATAGTCTGGTGCACCAAAGTACTGGAGTGCGTTTAGAAACGGAGTGTGAAGGTAGAGTAGTTGTTTGTCAGAGTTTTCTGACGTCATCACTTGGAGTGCACTCTGGGTGCGTTATTTCTGAACGTATTGGGGCGTTGCGGTGAATATCAATGTCATGAATCCGTTAATAACCAATGTAAAATCGGCGGGGCGTTTTTCAACCCAGTCCCTGAGTGGGGTAATTTGGGCGCATTCTGGGCACGTCAATACTCGATTTCTGAACGATTCCAGCGTCGTAACGCTCCGAGTAAGCACCTGTTAATTTATGAACGGTTTAGAGTTACTCTAGGGTCACTCTCACACCCAGGGTGCTATTTTTAAACGCAACCCTGTGGTGTCACTGGAACGCACCGTACTCTAAGTGTCGTGTTTTTGATGCACCCATAAAATGGCGGGTGCTTGAGAGGGCAGGGGAGAGGAAAAACGAACAGTTCAGTTGCGCAAAACTCTAATACACTGGAACACCTATAAATAGTCTGGGGCCCTTTAGAACAGCTCAGGAGTGCTTAAAGTGCGTCACTGGAAAGCGACTTTGAGAGGGAGCTCCTTATTTGAAGGAAAGTTCACTTACTCTATACTAAAGAACCGAACTAAATAACCCGAACAGTCAGAGTGACAAGGATTACTTAGTGTGCACAGAGTGAGCAATCCGAACTAATAATCCATTCATGAATTTAGTTTTGTGCGTTTGAGAATTGATCCAGAATCACATTCCGAACTGATTTTCAATAGTTCTTTGAGATGCAAATCCTAGTGTCATTAGTTCGGAGTCAGTGGTAACATTTCAAATTGGAGTGAAGTTGGGACAGTTTTTTTTATTATATTTTAGCTCTAAGATTACCAATTCGAAGTATTTAATACTTTTACTCTATTTACTCGACTTTAGAATGTGAACGTAAATTACTCTACACTAAAGAGCCGACCCAAACTAAACCGAACAGTCAGACTGAACAGGGATTACTTAGAGTGCACTGAGTGAGTATTTCGAACCAATCCATTTATGAATTAGTTTCGAACGGATTTTCAATTAAATAAATTTTTTCAAAATGTGAAACTCAGTGTCATACGTTCGGAGTGATTCAGAGTGAGTGGCAACATTTCAAGTTGGAGTAAAGTAAAAACAGTTTTGTTGTCACGTTTAGCTTTAAGATTACCAGAGAGAGAGCTCCTTATTCGAAATAGGACTTTAACTCCATTTACTCGACTTTGAATGTGAACATAAATTACTCTACACTAGAGTAAACAGAACGGTAATCCGTACCCGAACGACTCGGAACTTTTGGAGTAACCTAATTTTCAATTTTGTGACAATAATTCCAAATCAATTTCTATTTATATTGTTGCAATTAGTGAAGTATTTACAAAAAAAAATATGAAAATAAACAAATTCTAGTGTTTCGCATTTCTTTTGCTCCAAAAGTTTCGGGTCACTCTGTGATAGTTCAGCGCTCTCCTTACTCTAGAACAGATGGCAAAAAATCTTGCTCCGAAGTTTGACTCTACTCCAATTCAGAAACCTAACCTCAAAAAACTTTGAAATATTTAAAAATAAATAAAACAATGAATTTTGTGCTCAAAACACTCAGATCTAACTCAAAAGTCCTATTCCGTGACAATGCCGTTTTGTTCAGTACAAACTCGTGTCTGAGGCAAGGGCACAAGCCCTTATTGAGAAAAGAGGCCCCTTCCTACAAAAAAGTCCACTCTTATGGATGGATCATGTTGGTAAGTATAAACAATGTAATTCCCTTATCGTTTAACGCATATTTGTTTGTACAGGTAATCCCTGCAGCCTCTTTTGGTTTAGGAGTGTGGCAAATTCAAAGGAAATCTTGGAAAGAAGAACTGATTGAAGAATTGCAAGAAAAGTCTGCCAGTGCCCCAATAGAGTTGCCTACAAAGTAACTAAATACAACATTGGGTAGTATGAATAAAAATGAAGTACCTGCTACACTATTACAAGTATTAGTATATTCTGCATATAGTATTTATTTTAAAACAAAGTAGATACTACATTTGAAAACCACCGGAAACTAGTAAATGCTTCTTTGTGAAGTAAATACTACGAAGAATATATTAATACTTGTAGTAGTAGCACATACTTGGTTTTTATTCATACCACTCATTATTATAATCACTGGTAGTTGATTATATATAAATGTTTTAGTCTGGACGAGTTACAGCAGCTAGAGTATCGTCCAGTTATTGTAAGAGGCACTTTCTTGCACGATAAAGAAATTTACATGGGACCTAGGTCCATAAAAGAAGACAAACATAATTCCAGTTTATTCAGTGAAGGTGGTAATCAAGGCTATTTGGTTGTGACACCTTTTAAATTAGCAGATAGAGAGTAAGATAAAAACCTCCACAAAAATAGTTTCTCATTTATGTTTTTAGTGAAACAATTTTGGTTAATAGAGGCTGGGTGCCTGCAAAAAACATAAAACCAGCTTCTAGGGCTAGAGGGCAAGTGGAAGGGGATGTCAATGTAATTGGTATTGTTAGGCTAAATGAAAACAGGCCCAATTTTGCCATGAAGAACAAAGAGGGCAGTAATTTGTATTTTTATAGGTAGATAAATTCCTCAAAATTTTTTAACAACGATCTAATAAAACTATTTTTAGGGATTTAAATTCAATGTGTGCCTCAACAGGTGCCTCGCCAATATTTTTAGACCAAACCATTGATTACAATGCCCCGGGTGGGCCTATTGGTGGTCAAACCAGAGTGACTCTAAGGAACGAACACTTGTCTTATGTTATAACGTGGTTTTCTTTAGGTGCTGTTACTTCTTACATGTGGTATAGGATGTATTTGAAGCCACGTTGATTATATTGTCAATATTTTATTTATTTTAAAGGCCAAATATAACATAAAAATATTGTTAAATTTCTATGAGAATTTCAATTAACATTCAATTAAATAGCTATTAATATAACAATTTTTATTTTTGGCACCTAATAATTACAATGCATTATTTTGGCCAACACCATATTTAGGCCTGATTTTTTTTTTTAATGGACAATTTCAGTGTTGGGCCAAACATCTACTTTCTATAATAATATAATTACTCTATATAAGATTCATATAATTCTAGTTATTTTCATATAAGTCTATCTAAAAAGTGTAAATTGTACAATTTGGCTCAATATTTCAATAAGGGTTGTTAAAAATCTGTGGAGGGGTCAAAATATTTTTGTTAGCAAAAAGTTAACATGGCAACAATCATGAAATACAATGGAGGACAGAGGGGATAAATACTATATTATAATATAGGGAGGCACAAAATTTAAAAATAATACCTTATTTTGCCTCACCCTGTGTGGTATAATAGTACATTAAAATACAAGTTTCATAAGACGTCATTTTATCGCACGAGCCCTATATTAGAAAACGAGCCGGAGGCGAGTTTTCTAAAGGGCGAGTGCGATAAAATGTCTTATGAAACGAATATTTTATACCATTTTTTCTATTTTGGAATTGTTTAATTAAAAAAAAACAAATTTCTCTTGGAATTTTATTCTCATATTTCCTGATTTCATAGTTTAGGTTGGTAACACTACATGCCAACTATAGAAATCTTCTATTATAAAATCGCGAATGACAGTTCGATGGCCATCAGTCAGCCAGTGTTACCAACCTCCGATAAGTAAAAAAGCAGTGTCACAAAGAGCTTCTTTTCGAAACTACTTTTAGTGTCGAAAAGACTTCGATATGACACCAAAATAGAAAAATATATTTTTTACTTAAACTAAATGCATTACAGTCAATAATATTCGAAAAAAAAATTGGACTTACAACCTGAAGAAGTAAAGTGGAAATGGATGTATAAGTTATTTATGGCAGTAATTATTAGAAAGGATATATATATATATTTTTTTTAATGGAGAAATTACACACTTGGCATCTCAATTTGATACACCCTGTAATTTAATCTTAGGTATAGAGAGCTAAGTCATTTTAATAATGTACTTTGGTTGGATGAAATATAAGAAGCAATTAGACTCTAGGGCCAGTAATTTCAGGTACACACAAAATATTCCAGTTTCAGCTTCTTTCAACGATTCTTAGCAACAATACAAGTACATACACCTAAATATAATATTTTATTTTGCCCACTTAAATATTTCGTAGAAGCATGATTCTAAGTCTAAAATTGAAACTTTCATTTCTTTTTCGAAGATTTTTTTGAACTACTACTGGTCAGACCGTTGTTGGTGGGATGATGCGGCACAGATCCATTGGCAATTCTTGTATAAGGACTTATTTAAAAAAATTTGAAATTGCACCAGTCAACTAGCTTACCTGTTATTCGCTCTAGGCACAGCCGCTCGTTGATCTTCCATTCTACCAGACTGAAATCGCATAATCAAGGAAAAGAAATCTTCGTCTGGCACAGTGGCGCCGCTTCTACCCGCTACAGGTTTTGGTTGTTCGTTTTCTTCAGTGTCAACTGAAGCGCTAACTGGAAGAGGCGATCTTTGATCGTCCAACCTGGAATTTTGACAACGGACAAGTTGATCTAAGAAATGATCGTCTGGTATTGAAGAATTTGATCGGGATTGGGCTAATCGTTGAAGAGATGAAGATTGAAGACCTGAAAGACAATACAAATAATTATATAATATTTAATTAAAATGGAAAAAAATTGATGAAATACACAAAATGACTTCAGGAAAAGTGAAAGTTGAGTTTTATGATGATTGCAAAATAGCAATGAAGCATTTAGACGTAGAATATAAAGTCCAGGAGTGTATGTTTTATTAGTGAGAAGATTGTGACACTGTATTAACTTAAGTAAATTTTGGATCTCAGTTTACCTGGTAAATTTGGTAATTCCACTCTTTGCTCGTCCATCCTCTTGCTCTGCATACCTGTAATCATATCAAAAAGATCTTCTGGCTCGTCGTTTTTAGGAAGATTAGCCAAATTTTTGTTTTCTTTGTTGCCACCCTTGACTGTCAAAGAACACCTCTGATCGTCCATGCGCTTTGATTGAAACCGCGACAAAACATCAAAGAACGAGTCTTCATCTTTGATTGCTGTACTAGCTTTAGTTTGAGGCAAACTCACACTAGGATTTTTACCATCTGGAGTAAGCTAAAGTGAAAACAAAAATGTTTCAAAATTATAATCACAACAAACATCATTCATGCAGCAAATTATTACATACATACCTCCAACCAAAAAAAAAAAAAAACAAATTAAACACATAAAGCCACTACCTTAATAAGACTAAGCTGTTCCATGCTTTCGCGTCTCACCCTGTGCAATCTCTCGCGACTGCCCTCCAACGATTTGGCTGGCGTTTGTATTGGAGGCACCTCGTCCACAATTTCAGGACTTTCTGGTATATCAAGCACCCGTTTCAAATCCGCTATGTTCATTTTTGCTGTAGCTTCACCCATTGGATCACAAATCTAAGAAATAATATTCATAAATAAACCCATGACAAATAAGCATGAAGTTAGATAACAAACCTCTTTACTTATTTCCAAATGTTTTCTAGCATAATTCAAAGCCTTTTCGTGATGTCCTAATGAAGCATGTGCGTTACCTAAAGACCAACAAGCTCTGCCTTCACCAACTCTATCGTTTAAATTTTGAGCTATCAATAAATGCCTTAAATGATACTCTACAGCTGTTTCGTAGTCTCTCAATAGGGTGTAAGTGTTACCCAAGCTGTAGCAAGCTTGTGCCTCTATGGCTTGGTCTCCTAGCTCTTGAGCTAAACCCAAAGTACGTCTAAAATTTGCCTATTATACAAACAATAGTCAATGTATCAAAAAACCATACTTGTAATGGTGTGCGGCCTCTTCAAATTGGCCCATGAAAATGTGTGAGTTACCCAAATTACTATGGGCCCTTCGTTCGGCTGCTTTGTCGCCGAATTGTCTAGCAATTGACAATCTTTCTTCGTGGTAGTGTATGGCCTGGCCAAAATCCCCTAGCAAGTAATAGGTGTTGCCTAAATTACCACAAGCTCTTCCTTGGGCTGCTACGTCACCTAATTCTCTCATTAGAGTCAAGTTTTCTCTGGAAAAAATTGTTAAGACATTTACAAACATGTTATTTGAATAATCATAGTAGGTCAAAACGTTACGACATTTACATACAAGGGTGAAATTTTCATGTTTTTGTAATAGGCCACTTTCATGTGCCAGGAATATGGCAATAAGTGATTTTCTATATTCTTTTTAGAATTTGTAAAGTTCAATTAAATAAGCACTGTGTGGAAACATTTTGGGACAAAAGCCAGCTGTTAGAATTAAATTAATTCACATTTATTTCCCTAGATTTAAGGAAAGTTTCGAGAAATTTGCAACATTCTACAAATATCTTATTATTGGCATTGTGTATGTCAAAATGTTTTTCCTTAGATCTACGGAATTTTTCCACCAGAAATTTGAAGGAATGCGGCAGCTTCGCCAAATCACTTGTTCTCAGGCACTTTTGATTTTTCAGAAATTTGCAACATCCTAGAACCATTTCGTTATATCTTAAGTTTCAAGATGGATACCTACCTTGTACCTACCTATCAAAATATCTCAAAAAACGGTATATAGATTGAGTAAAGAAAATTTTCATTAGTTGGTTTTTTGATGAGCAAATACATATCTCAATTTTCTTTTCTTCACAAGTCTTACCTCACATGACACTTTAGAACTTAAAATTTCCATGAACATATTAGAACACTCTAAAAGACTTCTGAACTTGTTTAGAATTTCAATAAGAATTACCAAAAAGCGCTCAAGAGTAAAATTGTGAAAGTTTCAGCTTTCTATCTATAATAGAAAAAAAGTTATGACCTTTCAAAGATTTTCAAAATCTAAATCATAAGGTTACTAAAACGATGAAATTTCAAAATTTTTTTTTGTCAAGATTTTGTATCCCAATGGTCAATCAACATACATCAAACTCCAAACACTAGATTATTCTCAGATTTGAAGCCGAAATATATGAAAAAAGGCACTCAGAAAAGTTGAAAAATTGATAAAGCACCCCAAACTGCTTAACACGATTTTATCTCAGGAACTATAAGTGCAAATGAGCTGAAATTTTCAGGGATTGCAGGCCTTTGAAAGGGATAAAATTCAGTGAAAGTTTCAGCTTTTGATCTATAATAGAAAAAAATTTATGACCTTTCAATGTATTCCAAAATCTAAATCATAAGGTACCTCGGTACCTTCTTACTAAAACGATGAAATTTCAAATTTTTTTTTGTCGAGATTTTGTATCCCAATGGTCAATCAACATACATCAAACTCCATACACTAAATTATTCTCAGATTTGAAGCCGAAATATATGAAAAAAGGCACTCAGAAAAGTTAAAAAATTGATAAAGCACCCCAAACTGCTTAACACGATTTTATCTCAGGAACTATAAGTGCAAATGAGCTGAAATTTTCAGGGATTGTAGGCCTTTGAAAGGGATAAAATTCAGTGAAAGTTTCAGCTTTCTATCTATAATAGAAAAAAAAAGTTATAACCTTTCAAAGTTTTCCAAAACCTAAATCATAAGGTAGCTACCTTCTTACTAAACCGATGAAATTTCAAATTTTTTTTTGTCGAGATTTTGTATCCCAATGGTCAATCAGGGCCGGATTTAGGCACAGGCAACCGAGGCAACCGCCTAGGGCGCCATGATCAGGGGCGCCAAATTGCAAACAAATTTATTTCAAGTGAACAAGTTAATTTAAAAAAATGTTTCATGCCACAAGGATAATAGGGACATAATAAAAGATTCAACAAAGTCCGGTAAAAGTTAATTCACGTGTCACCACTGTCACCTGTCACCGCTCATTAAGGCACTTTCGACGATCTTTGTCTCAAGATAAATTGAACGTGAAAATGTTATAACCTTCAACCATTGAACACACTCGATGGTGTGATGGTTATAACATGTTCGATGGTGTAGATTATAGGTCTGTTCTCCTCACAAAAATCACAAACCAGTCAGAGCGTTTTTGATTGGTGAAATCACAAACCAGTCAGAGCGTTTTTGATTGGTGCAAATCGCCAATAACCAGTTCTATAATTATTTTCAACCAATGAAATTCCCTCTGATTGGTTTGTGATTTCTGTGAGAACAGACGTATCAACGAACTCATCAGACTGGTTCACTTTTAGTGTTGATAATTTCAGTGTTCAGTTAATTTGAAAAATGAAAAATACATACTTACAAGGTGTTAATTTGAAAACTTTCATTGCCAATATCTCTGAATTCTCTGAAAGTAAAAAAGTTAGAAAAACGTAATTTGGTAGGTAAGTACAAATGCAATACAGGTAGGGGGAACTAGAACTACCATATTTTAGTTATGGGGTCAGTGACCCCTTGGGCCATATGGTGGTTTTATAGTTGCCCCTACCCCTACCCCTACTTGTATAACATTTGTACCAAATTACGTTTTCCTAACTTTTTAACTTTCAGAGATATTCGCATTGAAAGTTTTGAAATTGACACCCTGTATATATCTAGAGTTGCCAGGCGTCACGCATTAGGCGTGATTGTCACGATTTTTTAATGGTTGTCACACATCACGCCTAAGTATGCGCGATTCCATGTAAACGCTTTCTAAATACATTATTTATAAGTTGAAAATAGACTTGCCTCAGACCTTAATATACAGGGTGTTTGGTACATCGATAGGAATATTTCAATGAGTGATAGTTGGGGTTATTTGGAAATTTTGGAAGCTGTTTAACCACATTTACCCTAATGAAAAATTGTTTGTTTGCCGTTTTTTGAGATATCGCCATTTTTAGATATTTTGAATCTATGTATTTCAACACATAACTTGGGCTACATATTTTTTGTATCAATCATTCGGTTTCTCTTTCCGTATTTTTCGAAAGAGTGCATATTAGGAATATCGGAAAAAAAATTGAGAAAGGGTAAAGTGTTTACTACCAAAAAAAAAAAAACAATATGTTTTAGGAACAATTCAAATAAAATATCTAAAAATGCTGATATCTCAAAAACGACAAAACCAAAACAAAACTTTGCATAAGAGTAAATGTGGTCAAACAGCTCCAAAATGACCTGTATACATTATTCTCATTTACGGAAATAAAAGATTTACCCCTACTGAAGGTGACCAAATTCCTTTTGCCTGGAATAAAACTAACGAGAAAACTAATAAAAAAAATTGATAATCCCCCTCCTCCCGTCGTTGTCACGCTTTTCTCTCTCGTAAATCTGGCAACCCTATACAACCCTACAGTATAGATCTGTTCTCACAGACATCACATACCTATCAGAACAAATTTCATTGATTGTAAACTATCAGAGAACTGGTTGCTGACGATTTGCACCAATCAAAAACACTCAGACTAGTTTGTGATTTCTGTGAAAACAGACCTCATGTAATAAGTAAACATATGATGATATACTTATTTTAAAAAATGAAGTAACTTTTTTGTTTTATTCTCTTACTCTCTAAACGATAGCGTAAAATTCATTGTTTATCATATTGATCTTTTACCATTTTGACAATACAATTTGAGAGGGGGGGCGCCAGAATGCAACTTTGCCTCGGCATATAATAGCTATTGGACCGGCCCTGTGGTCAATCAACATACCTCAAACTCCATACACTAGATTATTCTCAGATTTGAAGCCAAAATCTATGAAAAAAGGCACTCAGAAAAATTGAAAAATTGATAAATCCCCCCAAATTGCTTAACACGATTTTATCTCAGGAACTATAAGTGCAAATGAGCTGAAATTTTTAGGGATTGTAGGCCTTTGAAAGGGATAAAATTCAGTGAAAGTTTCAGTTTTCTATCTATAATAGAAAAAAAGTTATGAACTTTCAAAGATTTTCAAAATCTAAATCATAAGGTTACTAAAACGATGAAATTTCAAATTTTTTTTTTGTCAAGATTTTGTATCCTAATGGTCAATCAATATACCCCAAACCCCATACACTAAATTATTCTCAAATTTGAAGCCGAAATCTATGGAAAAAGGCACTTAGAAAAATTGAAAAATTGATAAATCACCCCAAATTGCTTAACACGATTTTATCTCAGGAACTATACGTGCAAATTTCTGATAAGTTCTAGAACATTTCGGCGCCTCAACAGCATTAAGCAACCAATTGAAACTTTTAAAAAGCATTTTGAAAATCTTCAGAATGAGCTTGTGCCAATTTGGAACATTTTTAAGCTATTTTAGATGCTCTAGAGCACTTTAGAATAAATTTAGAAAATTTTTAATCCAATTTCCAATCCTGCTGCATTTGTTCGAGACAAGTTGGAACTTTTAAGAACACTTTATAATGTTCTTCAGAATCAAATTAGAATTTCAGAAACATTCTAGAAGAATCCACAACACTTCTGAACTTTCAAGAACATTCAAGAAACCTTGAGATACTTTAAAGTTTAAGTTTAGATCCAAGCTAAAAATTTCCAGGAGTATTTTGGAACGTTCTAGAACACTCTGGAAATCATACAGAACTTTTGAGAACAATCTAAAACTAGAAATTTTTAGAATATTTTAAAAATTATCACATGGCACTTTAGTACTAACTTAAAACATAGAACACTATAAAACACATTCAGGTGTTAGAATTTCAATTATAAGTATCAAAGAGTAGCTACTTAAAAATATTTGAGAAATTGTTTTTGACAAATTATGAAAGTGACCTATTGGTGTATCAATGCAAAAACTAACTAAGTGCAAAAGCAAGACACAACTGAAACCATAGACCACTTACTTATAACAATCTATGGCCTCTTTGAAGCACTCTTGTACTTCTTCAGTAAATTCTCCGGGTGCGTTTTGCAAGGAAGATTTTCTTTAAAATGTTAGCAATAAATTTCTAGCACACAAAACTCAATAAAAACACTTACTCATAATACGAAACAGCTTCTTGCAGGCATTCTTTGACTTCATCAGAAAACTCGCCAGGATCCTTTTGGCCCACTTTCCCTATATGTTTGCCTTTGGCGTGATGGACGTTGCCCAAATTGTACAATGCCCTGCCCTCGCTCAGCTTGTCATCTAGTTCTCTGGAAAGCTCCAAATGTCTTTTGCAACATACTATAGCCTCATCGAATTTTCCCATTACTTTCAGCGTATTGCCCAAGTTGCCTGAAGACTTGGCTTCACCCAATTTATCTCCCATTGTTCTAAAACAAGCCTCTCAAATTAAAATTTTCCATTTATATTTAAAACATGTTTACCTAGCCAAAGTCAAATCGTGCTTATGATACTGCATAGCTTTGTTGTAGTCTCCGAGATAAAAATAGGCATTTCCCAGCTGGCTGTAAATGGCACTAAGTGTTCTGAGGTCGTCAGTGCCAGCTTGAATTGCAGCTTGGAAAAAAGCTACTCCTGCACGACAATCGCCCGATTTACATAGTCTTTCGCCTTCTAGGGCTAGCTCTAAGCACATATTACTCGACCCATCGTACTCCTAGAATATTAATTGGTAGATGACTAATTGAAAAAAATCTTAATTCGAGGAATTTCTAGGGAGTGGATCTATGATGAAGATTCAATAGAATAGTATTGTGCTCACCTGCTGGACAGCATTTTCGTTACTAGTAATCACTGACATGTTGTAGAATGTGCACTTTCACTAATTAGTTCATTTAATTTTATGTATTTTAATTATTTATTAATTAATAAACAAAAACACTGCACCCCCAGCCAAAAGATAAATATTTAACTGTCAAAATTTAAATGTCAGACAAATGATTTTCTGTTACAGATTTCTGTAAAATTGTACTACATACAGTAATATGATTCTGACAACAGCATGGCAACGTGGAGGTGAGATGTTCAAATCCAAATAATCACTTTCCAATAATTAGCATGAATATTTGGGGTAAATAATGAATTAAACTTGTAAATTTATAGTACTATAAGCTTAAAAATCATGGCGGTAAGTAGTGACACTGTTAATAATTCACAAAATCACTGAAAATGTTGTTTTCAGCCACCCCAAAAAGGTAAACAGGCTACCAAAGGGGCCAAACAAATTGTCGAAGAAAATCAAGCTACCCTAGTTTTCTATAGGAATATGGCAATGATAGCTAATGCCTTATCTCTAGCTATTTTAGTATTTTATAGCTCTACAATCAATATTGTACGTATACACAGCTTTTTGTATATTTGTGTCAACTTGTCCCTTTTTTTTAGGTTTTATATTTATTTTCAATTGGAGTGTATGTAGGGTCGTATCAGTTCATGGCAATCATGGCCAGAGCCCAATATTCGGAAACTGGACAACTTTTAGATAGTGGCAACGATTTAAATATGGAAGGAGGTGTAGCAGAGTAGGTATTTTTTCAAAGTGAACTGTTTTCAATTTATTTGTTTATATTTCTTGAGCCAGTATTGTCTGGCCAGGGAATCTGACCTATGGAAGGAATTCGGATGAGAATGTGCGATGTTGCCATGTTTACGGCGGGAGTTTGATCATTATTGATTTTTGTGTACTGGGTGTTTATTTACCTATAAGTGGAACACTCAGTAACTTTCATATTAAAAATAAAGGGCATGTTTAAATTGAAAAATTGCAACCTTGCGATACAACGATATTTTGTTGTTGTCATAGGTATACAATATACAAGGTGCGCCAAAAAGGTTTTTTTTTTAATGGAACGCCCTGTATATTTTTGTTATCTAAATAGTGTTTGATATTTTTGTGAAGCTGATTTCCTAAGAATTTTAAAAATGCAAAAATATACAGGGCATTCCATTTAAAAAAAAAAAAACTTTTTTGGCGCACCCTGTATACCTATGGCGACAAAAAAATATCCTTGCAGCGGTTAAGATCGTTACAATTTACCAAGAAATTTTCCAATTCAAACATGCCCTTTATTTTCAATAAGGATGTAAGACAATTTTTCTGACAATGTCATGTCACAGTCAAAATGAAAATTACGGTCATGTCATTTATTTTTATGACACTCTTGTCATTTATTTTTTTATCGATCAAATTTTCTGAGTTAAAATAATAACTGACTGTCATTAAAATATATGACTGTCATTGAAATATATATGACAGTGTCACAAAAATATCAGCTGACTTTCGATTTTGACTGTCAATCTTATGGAAGAGATGGAAGCTGTACTTTCTAACTCATTAGATGACTGTGATATTGATGACTGTGAAACTAAAGCAGAACTCAATCGACCAATCAGATATCTGATTATTGATTTAAGTTACCTATGTTATGTTCTACATTGACAGTAAATGACATAAATGACAAAAATGACTGTCACTTGTCATAAAAAAATAAATGACCGACATTTTAAATCCCTAATTTTCAATAATTGAAAAGTTACTGAGCGTTCCCGTTATAAACAAACACCATGTACAAGTTGCAATGTAATATACTCTCAACATATTTGGCATGCAGCTGAATATTTTATGATTGAAATCAGCCATTTTTTCTACAACTGCATTCCTCTCACTGTTGCCTTGTAGCTTCAAATTTGTTAGCCAAACAATATTTTTCGTAAAATCCATGGTTGAAGAAACAACCAATTTCTTTTTAATTTATTATATATTTTTATGGTAAATATTTTTGTTTAAGGAATATAAAAGACTTAATAATCTTAACAGCAGGCTGTCAAGTACTGTCCTCATTTATCTCCAACTATTTCTGGCTGCTATGGCTGTTGGCACCGGTAAGACTAGGCTGGATATTGTGGAAGAACATTTTGGGTCCGTATTTCCAAGCCGCTCCCCAAGAAAATCCACAAGTTGACGATAAAAAACAGAAGAAATTGGAGAGGAAACAGAAAAGATTTGCCAATATGAGATAGAATTTTGTCAGTTGTATGACAATTTTTCTAGTGTATGTTTTGTATAGATGATAATAAATAAATATTTTATTAACAAGTGTCATGTCGAAATGTTTATAAATAAAAATAATAGTGATAGGTCTGTTTCCACAAATCAGTCAGAGTGAATTTCATTGGTTGAAACTAGTTTTCTGACTGTCAACTAAATGGGTCTGTTTCTGCAGAAATCACAAACCAATGAAATTCACTCTAACTGGTTTGTGATTTCTGCAGAAACAGACTTTATCAACAAAATTGTAAAACTAGGATTATTCTAAGCTACTTAAATATATGTATGATTATGTTTTGTTTGTCGCCTTGACATAAGCATAAGGTATTTGTGCCGTACCACAGGTTAGTTAATCAAAATTAAACTAGGGCCGATACTTTTATTGCTATCGATTAACGAATTTGATACGCCATTAAAGTTTTGCATGGGCCAAGGTCTATAAGTATGATGTGGTTAGAACACATTCAAACCCCTGATTATTTTTAACAGCTGTCAAATGAGAGCAAAAGTATCAGCACCTATTCTAGTATATCACATTACAAGTGTAGAAAGTGAGAAAAAATCACACGAGTCTATGAAGAAGCTTTCTCACATGTTATGTACCCTACACCATTTTTCATCAGTTTAAATTCTAAACCACCGCTGGCGCAAAGAGTTGACGACTTATTCAATGACGTCGACAATGGTGCTACACCAAGCTGGTTTCTTGCGTTTACTTTTTTGAAACTGGTTTGAAATAGAACAGTCGTGAGCATGAAAAGTGGGACACCCAACTGACAGATCTTGTCATTTTTCGCTATTTTGGGAAAATCAGTCTTTTCTCTACAACGGTTTTTTTGTCAAATATAATAATCCCTGTCATTGCCGTAAGTATAGCTGATGAGCTTGTTTTACAATAAGAGAAAACGGGTATCCCACTTTTAATGCTCACGACTGTACTATATCCTCGCGAGAAAACACCTCAATGACCGCGATCAAGGATTACCAAAAACGAGCCCGATAAGCTATCCTGAGTAGAGTGTATTATCCTTGACCATCAACGTGCAAGGCTTGCTGGAAAAAATTCATTTCTGCACTGTGGGGCGGTTTCTCACTTGGTAGTAACTCGGCGTTAACTAACCCGGTAATAATCTAATCTTAACCTTGGGTTAACTGAGAAGTATTGCATTTCTCAAGTATCCATTGTAGGTGGGAGTTAACAAACCCTAGGTTAGACACTGGGTTAGGCAATAGTTGGTATTGGGTCTTCAAAAAAAAAATACCAATCAAAGATTGCTATGGCTATGAGCTGCTTTCCAGTGCCTAAATTGTTAGAGTATCATGGTCCTGGAGTGTGACGCTCAAGCCTGGAACGTGTAAATTAATTGTGGAGCACTCCTGAGCTGCTCAGGAGTTACTCAAATTGGTCACTGGAAAGCACCTATGGTTTTTTAAACGTATGTTAAATAATCCCATAAGACATACGTTCATAAAAATATCGAGCATGGAGGAATGCGAGTGACGTCACGCAGTCCTTGATCGGTTTGTTTTTCATTATCACTACAGTGCATTTTCCTTGCATTTTCAAACGTGAAAAAATGGTATTTTGAGGATTTTTCCTTTGAAAACTGTGTTTTTTAAAAAGCAGACTTCAAAAGTTTGTGTGCTTGAGTCGTTAGCTAATTATACGAAGTCGAGTTTGTTCTCTGCTCATCATCAAGGTAATTTCAAAATACCCACATTTACTCTTCACAAACACTAATTTCTAGTAATTACATTCAAAGGAAACTTACAACTAAGTAGTTATATTATTATTATTATTTGATTTACAAAAAAAAAAAAAACAATTCAAATACTTGACTAGGGAATACTAACAGTAGAAAACTAGCAATAACACGAATAAGAGAAAGCAATAATTCCAGTATTACAAAACCACTAAAATCAGAAAATATTTGGGGTTTCCGCAATTATTTTTAGCCACAAATCTTTCTTTACACACATTAAAATATGAAACTTTAAAATTACACATCGGCGGCCATGTTGAAAGTCAGGAATGCAGGTGACGTCATAGCAATAGTGGACAAATTTACCGGATTGAGCAATCCTGTAGAATTTACGATTCTTGATCCTGACCAATAAAGAAACAATAATGCGACATACGTTCTCGTAACGTTCGACAGAAAAAGTTAACGTCTGGAATTCCCGCATTGAGGTAGAATCTATGAAATTCCAGAAGTTAACTTTTAGTTTTCTGTCAAAATAACTAAAAGTTGACTTCTGATTTCTGGAATGACTATGAGATCTGACGTCATTCCAGAAGTTAACTGTTAGGGCAGAATCTATAGTTGCTCCTTTAGGTTTCCTAGACCTCAAGGAGGCCTCGAACGTTTAGAATTGACATTACTAACTTATTACATAGAAACAAGTGTCTCATTCTAAACTCACGACCTTCAAGGGAGACCCAAGAAATAACTATAAATTCGACCTGTTGTATATATAATATTATGTTATTGAAATAGTATGTTAATATTCTAGTATAGATATGTGGCAACAGCGCCGAGTTAGTTAGTCAATTATGGTTAGCGGACACCTATGTTGTTCTATTGATGTACCATTCATAATTGAAAAGTATTATTATTAAACTCAAGTTCATAAGTGATTTAGTGTTTTATTTGGCTAAAACCAATTGGACAATTACAGAATATTACACGACCCTTAGTTATTTATCAAAATAGTTTTAAATACCCGTTTTAAATACCCGCCTTTAGCAGCTGATTTAGGGGCGGTTTCTCAATAGCGAGTCACCTACGGGCTGATCTTAACTCTAGGGTACACTTATCCAGTTTCTATGTTTACCCTGGAGTTATGCTTAACCAGGGGGTGATTGCTATTGAGAAACCGGCCCTTAAATTTTAATGCAGTGAAATAGTGCAAACCAGTGCAAAAGTCATTTGACACTTGTTCCAAAGTGTCGGTTCGAACTGCACTAGAGGTATTTTTCAACGAAAGAAAACGTCAAGTAATTGTTCCAGGAGTTCTTTTATCGTTTTTATATACCTGAAGCTCGGCAACACCAAGATACAAAAAATGCAGGACCTGCAAGTCTGACTTTTTGTATACAAAAGCAGAATGCATTTGCTAGTCGTCTGCAAATTTGCGCATGGTGAAACGGTCTCGCAAGTCCTTGTAATCACTTTGACAACTTTGACTTTTTTCCGACCAATATGACGAAATTGCAGATTTTTTCTCTAATTTGCTCGTTTCTGCAAGTAGAGCACATATGCAAGTCGGCCATATTTGCAGATGCAAATATACTGTAATTTGGCCCTTAATTACATAAGTTAATGTGGCGTCATCTATTATCGAGCTATTAAAAGTCAAAGTTTATAGCCCCCATCAATCTATGCAGTGTCGTTGAAATTTGGCATATTCAGCTTCAGCAACGCCCCATGTTGAAGAACATAGAGATGTGTTTTGTTTCATTCTCTCGCAGGCCAAATCCTGTCTCTTGCGTACACTTTTTTGAAAATGGTTCTAGTTTGAAACAGGAAACGGTTTGGTTTGACCCAAGTTGACCAATTTTGATGTGACGGTGACGTCATGAGTTCATCGCGAGAATATAGTAGTTTTGGTTCGAAAAAAAGATGGTTCTAGAACGGTCCAAAACAGTCGCACAGTTTATTATTGGAATTATTGATAGCCGAGCCGTTGTCATTTTGTTGATTGATAAACTGATTGTTTTGAACCGTTCTAGAACCGTCCCTTTTTCGAACCAAAACAAAGCTATACTTTCGCGCGATGAACCCATGACGTCACCGTCACATCAAAATTGGTCAAACGTAACCAAATACAATCCAAATAATAAAGCACCCCAACTGACGTCATAAAGTTACCAGGTACCTCTCTCAAACAACCTTGAATCTAATTATCAAAACCATTTTCTCGCGCCGAGAATCTATGACGTCATGTGACACTGTTTCAAACCAAAAAGTTGCGTCATACTGCAAACAATTGGTTTCCATTACTATCTAAATGGTGACCCTGTATATAGTAGCCTTAACATGAAACAAATGTTTGCTTGTTTGTAAAAACTCTTTATTATTACATCAATCAATCAACGTTTGCTTTTACCACTCATACTCCTTTTAGGCGCACTTTTAACTTTATTCTTCTCCTTAATCTTACTCTCAAGTTGTCGCCCATTATTTTGCAACTTGCTATCAGGCAAATTTGTGCAACTTTGTTGCACATTGAATATATTCGGATCGATTTTGTTTGTATGCTCGATAGTGTACTTATAACTGTGACTGTCCACAAGATTGCGCTCTTCTGTAAGAATACCTGGAGCGATCAAATTGAATATTTCCTTGCTGCATTCGGGAATTCCTTCTTTGGAAAAGATGTATTGCCAACAAGGTATTCCTAAGTGGGCAATGCACATTCGGAAGTATGTGGTGAAATCTTCTGCCAGGTAGCCAAAGTGCATTTGGCCGCTGTAAAACCATATTGTGGGTATTGAATAGTTTGTTGGGTAGACTAGGACCACTTTGCCGTTTTCGTCTACATTAGCCAACTCAAATACCTTCAAATGTTATAATATCGTCTATTGCATTAAAGAAAATAGTATAAAACTTACTTTACTTTCTCTAGATAAACTTAAAGAATACTTTTTCTTGATGCACTCTACGTGAGCGGAATTTTTGGTTTCGTAACCGAAAGTACGGGCGAGATCGTTGACTGGGTTGATTTGGATTACGCCGACCCTAAAGTCTTTGTCAGCTTCGCTGGCATGATAGTCGTAGGAAAATTCGTAGGTGAACAAGAATCCATTGGTTGATGAGTAGAAGGAACGCAAGTCTTCGGGTAGGATGACTCCGTTGTTGTGTTCCCAGGCTCTTATATCGACTTGTCTGGAAAATATATTTTGAATATGTCTTATTGAAGTTCTAAAGTGTTCTAACTTAGCTTCGAAGGGTTATGGAGCATTCTGGAAGGGTTTTAGTAATTCTAAATTGTTCTAACAGATTTTTAAGTGTTTAGAGCCCTATATTAAAGCTCCAAAGTGTTCTAAATTGGTTTGAAAGAGTTCTTAAAGGTTTCCAGTTTTAAATTGAATTCAATTGTTCTAAAATGACTCTGAAGTTTCTAAATATTGTTCCAAAATGCTCCTCAAAATTCTGATTTGAATTCAAACTGTTCTGAATGCTTAATGAAGGTCTAAAGTTCTAGTTCTAGCAATCTATATTCGCTCTTAAAAAGCCTCCTGAAAGGCGTTTTTCAACTTTTAACATAAATCCTATAAGATTCTGACGCTTTTCAAAACGTTACTGGAAGATTCTAGAGTGTTGGAGTGTTCTGGAGCGTCCCAAACTGGATTTCAAACTACTACAAAACTACTGGAATAGAACAATTCCAGTAGTTTAAACTGGTTTCGGAAATTGTAAACCGATTTTTGAATGTTTTGGGACATTGTGACAAGTGTTTTCAATTTTCCAAAAGGCTTATTAAAGTTCTTAAGTGTTCTGTAGCATTCTAAATGGTTTTCATGCAGTTACTCCTAAATTGAATGAGAAACTAATTATGTGGAAAAGATGTCCACAAATGACATTCAAGACATCTTGAAGACGTTAGGTACCTGTTATTACAATACCCAACGTCTTTTAGACGTTTTCCTACAGACGAATTTCTTCGTCTGAATTTTTGTCTATTCCAGATTCGCTTAGGGTCGGTTTCTCAATAGCGAGTTACCTCCGGGTGTCCGGATTGGTTTCAACATAATTTAAGGTTTTATCTCCAGGGTAAACGTATCTATTTAGTTGCAATGTTTACCCTGTGGTGGAACTCCGTGCCATGTAGAATTGTGGTAGAATTCGACATATGGAAACATCGAATGCTGCACAGAGTGCCGAGCCTATAGAATCCTGTCGATATGTGAAATTCTACATGACACGGAGTCCCTAGGCTGGAGTTATGCTTAACCCGGGGATGACTTGCTAATGAGAAACCAGCTCTAAAGAAATGAGGAGGGAATTTGATCTTTTCAACTTTTCTACTGCATCTCAAATAGTCGAGTTTCTAACCAAGAGATGGCGCACAGTATCTTTCATTAACCAGAAACATGACTAGAGGGCGCTTATATTGAACATTTTTCAAAAATTTGATTTTTATTTGAATTTTTCCACCCACCTGACTCCGGATAATCGTTTGAGACACATTTTCGACACGCAAGGACTTTTGTCCAGCACTTTGGACACTCCGAGCAGTAAATTTTCGTAAAATGAATCCTCGGACACTTTATCCACGACGAAACCCATTTTGCTGGACACTGCAAGGAAATTTTAATACCTAATTCAAAAAGTGATAGAATAATACTGTATTGAAAGTTAATTCACCTGAAACGAGAATTATTTATCGATAAAACAACTTCAAAATCAATACGCTCCAATTTCGCGCCAGAAAATCAAACAAAGCCCCGGTTTGACGCAGGCGCTCTTCACGCTTATTTTTTGACAGTCCGAGTTGTCATTATTATGAATGAACTTGTCTGTCAAAAAAAAACCCATACAAGAAACATTTTTGTCAATGGATAGTGTGTGTTGTTGATTCTTTTGCCTGAGTCTAGTTTCGGTTTGATGTTGTGCAAAAATGTGGGTTTCCTTTATACGATTGACTCTAGACGATTGTAGTTTTTCAGCGACCAATCATGACCGAAAGAAGTGAAGAGTGAGTATTGAAATTTCAGCCCTTATTTGGCGGGGGTACAACACCCTTTTTGATAACCCAGGTAGGGTTGAGCATTATATGTTCAAAGCTTGAATACCCTCAACCAAAATACAACCAAATTGTAAAATCTTTGCCTTTAATTGACCATTACTGTACACCGGAAACGGGTACAACATAATTGAATGTTAATTATTTATTTTTTAAGCGGTCAAAATGTGTGTGTGTACATCTATTTCAGGCAATTTGCCAGTTTGGTTGATTCATGGTTTTTAATCAATGGCAATAATGGACTCGCGGTTCACTATTCGTCAGCAGTCCATTCATGAATTTTCCTTAGTTTATTTCCGAATAAAAATACTCCGTCTGTCCCTCACCTTGTAGTTTAATTTTAGGTGTTTCCTGACTCCCACGCTATCCAGTCCTTATGGGTTTCGGGATTGGTTGGCTTTTTTTTGAATGAGTTTGGATTTGATACCGCTATAATGTTGATTTTTACCTAATTGGTTGATTTTGGATATTGTTGTGTTATTTATAGTACTCAGGTATGCCTGATCATCGAAATCATGATTTTTCTGTTGGGTTGTCAGACCTATTATGGCGTCAAAAAGGGCTGTACTGTCTGTCAGGTACTGTTAAGCTGAATTTATAGTGTCAGTATCAGTAACAGTAAAATATTAAAACTAAAAAGGCCATTTATAGTTCACTTAACAAACTTATCAGTAAAACTTAAGAAATGGATATTTTCATATCTGTTCTTAAGTTTTAAGTTACTGTTACTGTTACGGCTACTGACACTATAAATCCAGCTTTAGTTAGGGAGACGACCGCATTTTTCCTACCCCGATCGAGTTATATGTCGACACTATTATCAATATATAGTATTATGTGCATCTATTAACCTGTATTCCTGCCTGAGAGCAAATGCTGCCGGAAATATCTTTTAACAAATTATTAACAAATTGAAAAAAACCTAACACTACCCCCATCGAGTTATGCCCTAAGTAGGGTATCAGATTGAAGGTCTCGATGTCCCCTATCTAAAAAGTCGATCCTGCCTCCTGAGAACTTGCCGGAAAAGGGTGGCAGGGCAGCTTATTGGGGCAAGGGCCCGCGGTCTCAGCTTTGACACGTATCAATTTTTACCCTGAATGATGTGTCAAATTAAAGGTATTAATGGTCACGTTCAGCCGAACTCAACATGTTGAATGATTAGGTAGCGGCTTTGTTCCAACAAGTAAAATACACAAAGTATAACAGTTTTGATTGGCCAAGAGCTGATTTTCATCTGTTTCCAACAAAGCCGCTGACTAATCACTCAACATGTTAAGTTCGGCTGAACGTGACTATTAAGTTGATTTAAGGTCTCTTCGCACAGAAATCCCAAACCAGAAGGAGTGAATTTCATTGGCTGAAACTAGTTTCCTGACTGTTTCCAACCAATGAAATTCGCTCTGACTGGTTTGTGATTTCTGTGCGAACAGACCTTAAATCAACTTATTGACACCTTTAATTTGACACATCATTTAGTGCAAAGCTTGATAGGTGTCAAAGCAGAGACCGCGGGCCCTTGCCTCAATAAGCTGTCCTGCCACCCTTTTCCGGCAAGTTCTCAGAAGGCAGGATCGACTTTTTAGATAGGGGACATCGAGACGTAAAGTGTCATTTACATCCACTCAACTTAACATACCTACAGAAAATTAATGATAAAGAAAAGTTGATGATCATGTATACTTATCTGTAGTTGTTTACATCCACTTAAAAATTAAGAAAATTAACGTACCATATGGAAAACTGAACCAACTTCAACTTGAGGAAATCCGTATGTTAATTTCAATAATAATTATGAATGACACACAGATTGCACTAGTCTGTAAATTATCAGTTTTGTACGTTAATTATAATTTTCCGTACGTTAAGTGGATGTAAATGACCCTTTAGTTGTTAAGAATACAAGATCATCGGTCATCCAACGAGGACTGAACAGGGGTTGACAGGGGATTATTTTTGACTTTCCCTGTATTTTTGAGAACATTGAAAATAGCCAATTGGAACATTTTTTTCTGGAGAACTCAAAAATAATCATTTGAACCAAAAACCAAAGAGTTACACCATAGATGAGCAGTTTTTTGAATGGAACAGCCTGTTTTTTGTATGATTTTTGGACAAGTCACACTTCTCATTCCATTGAAAATATCTGATATTCCAATAGCTGTTTTTATTTTATGTTAATGTTTTATTCTTATTCCTGCAACTATTGATTTAATTGTTGTTTGTGTGTCCAAATATAATCCATCATATCAAAAGATACAAAAATCCAAGCAAAAATTCTTCACTGTGATCCACAAGAAGAATCATTATAAACGAGAATTTTTTTAGTATTGCGGGACTTCGCGCGGTAATTTGAGGGTATTTCGGGTACTTCGACGGTAATTCCATGGGATTTCTCGTACTTCGACGGGAATACCTGGTATTTCGACGTACTTCACGGTATTTCTAGGTACTTCAAAGTATTTCGGAGGTAATTCGGGCCAATTGTACAAGTATTTCGGAAAGTGGTTGACCCCTCGCTACTGATAGCACAAGTCGCTGTGTGCGAATGTTCTCTCATGTTTTCTGTAATTTTGACTGTTTGAATTTCGTATCAATTGTTGAGTGTGATATGTGCAAATTGGGAAAAAAATTTCCTATAAGTGCTAAATTATTTTTGTGCCTTTCCCAAACAAAACTAACAGTGAAATAGTGGAAAATAAACCGTTTAATCCTACAATCTTGAATACAAATCATGAAATTTAAAAAAAAAGGTTTAAATTAACAAATACATCAAATTTTATCTGTTTTTTTTTGTTAAACATTTTTTGTCAAACTTTTCTGCTTGGGTACACTACCTTGTGGGATTGGACTTGATAAGAAAGAAATAATATGAATACTCTTAACTGCTCTGAATGCAACAAATTTTGCTTATTTAAATCCAGGCCAAACAATGACGAAATATTCGGAGCATGTTGTGATTCATGCGGAATATCATTATGCAAAAAGTAGGCAAAAATCACCACAACGAACGGCTCATGTCGTAGCTCTCAGTCACTCAGTGTACCAATTGCAAAAGAAAACTTTAAAAGATCTACCAAATTTCAAAGTACTTATGAAGGCATATGAAAAGCTAAGGGTAGAAGCCAATTTTTTTAAATATTGAAAATAGAGAAAAAAAAAATGTTGTGATCTCCTATTGAAACCACATTACTAAGGCCGCCAAGTCGCTGCTAATCTACCTGGTCAATTTTTCGTCAATATTTTGATTTTTCAATTTTATAAATATTATTTGACCTTGCATCCTAAAAGCTTCTGCAACAAATTTTAATTAGTTTGTGAATGATTCAAATAATAGTGTAGGAGGAGTTTTTTTCTATATTTTGCTCTTTTGTAAAGCTTCCGAGAAACTGTAAACAAATTTTATATGTTAACAAGTAAACTATAAAAATTACCTTAAAAATCTTTCAAAAGTTTAAAGTTTCTCAATTCAATTAATTATAAATCTTATTGGAAAAATAAAAATCATTACAAAAACTTATTTTGTATCTAGAAAAAAAATATCTTTTCTGGGTCAAAAATATATTTATCAAAACTTTTAAATTACATTAAAATATCAAATTATTATAGAAAAGTGCAAAGTTGTTTTTTACAATTGAATACATAAAATAATTTCCTGGAGAAGTTGGTATTGTCATGTTCTGAGATGTTTTCTAGCTCAGTTAGTGACCTTTTTGTAGAACTTTCAATCTTCAGTAGCAAAAGTTTTAGTGATAATAATCAAGTATAATAACAGGGATCTACTTAGTAGGTATAATTGTACCTACTTTAGAGTATCTAAGTCAAAATACAATGCTAGTTATTGCTGAAATAGAATTATGAATTTTTTACCTTTGAGAACTTCTGTAAAATACAAGGAAAATTCTTTCAATTCCAAAGGTTTTCAAGGCTCACGTGTGAAGACTGAAATATGTTCTAAAGCACAGAAATATGAGAAGTAAATAAGATTTCAGTGATTCCACAACGCTTAGTTTAAAAACTTCAAAAATTAGGACTTTAAAAAGAGCCTTATGAGTTATTTAGATTATATATTTTAAGATTTGTGAATATTTCAATACTTCCAGTGGCGGCTCGTCAAAGGAGGCAGGGGAGGCTGAACCTCCCCCAAAAAATTGAAAATTCAATCTCAATTTTTTATTCCTGATTTCTAATTAAAATAATAATTAACAAATTACACTTTCCAATTTTCGATATTTCAATGTAATTTAGAAAAATCTGACAACATTATTTCAATCAATCCCACGCCTCCACGACAAATATCTGTGAATCTGGGATACTCAGTAATACCGGCCCGAAGGGCCGGAGTTATATGCGAGCCCGAAGGGCCGGAGTTATATGCGAGCCCGAAGGGCCGGAGTTATATGCGAGCCCGAAGGGCCGGAGTTATATGCGAGCCCGAAGGGCCGGAGTTATATGCGAGCCCGAAGGGCCGGAGTTATATGCGAGCCCGAAGGGCCGGAGTTATATGCGAGCCCGAAGGGCCGGAGTTATATGCGAGCCCGAAGGGCCGGAGTTATATGCGAGCCCGAAGGGCCGGAGTTATATGCGAGCCCGAAGGGCCGGAGTAATACGAGCCCGAAAGGCTAGAGTTATTTTAATCACGGGGCCTAGTTTATAATTCTATTGGTGAGCGGATAATTTAGAGCTAATTGAAAACCGGGAGTATTTAAAATGCGATTTCTAACGTCCGATCAAAGAGTCAGGAATATTCAAAAACTTTAGTTTTATCAAATTGGCTTTGGAATGTTGCTTTTCTTAAGATTTTTACTTTTTTCAGAAAATGGTGGTTTTTGCAAACATATACTACTTTATCATTGTCTTTGTCTTACTCACTATAATCAATAAGGAAACCTTGTAATGTCATTTTCATTAAAATTAAACTAAAAACAAGTTTCCTATGATTCATTTGGGGAATTTTAATTATTATAATCATTATTTATTAATTATTAAATTGAATTTTAAACAAAAAACCCTTTTAAAATGTTATTTTTGTTTTCCGAAATGAGATGTGGCAACGTTGCTTTTAGTTGGCCATTTTGAAGTGACGCCTCGTAATTTTTTGCCAGTTTTTCCTCGAATTTTTCACTTTTCCGGGGCTTTTCAATGGAAAAAGGCAATTTAACATACGAAGCTCTGAGTTTTCTTCATTTTATAGCAAAAATGTCCAGTTTTAAAATGACATAAATAACAAAATCCCATTTAGAATTTTTTTTTTGGAAGTTTTGATGTGGCAACACCGTTTGTACCAACTTCAAATAGGTTTTGTAATAAATGTCATTTGCCAGTTTTGACAGTCGGCAATTTTTAATTGACGTGTTTACATTTCTATTCAGTTTTTCCTCGAATTTTCCACTTTTCCAAGCCGTTTTCAGTCAAGAAACCCGATTTGAAATACGAGGCTTTGAATTTCCTACATTGTGTGCTAAAAATTTCTAGTTTTCCAATGGGGTAAGTGACAAAAACTCAAATTTCATTAAGTAGGAATGTCATTTTTAGAGGTTTTTCTTTGAATTTGTCCGCTTTTCTAGGACTTT